AAGGTCGTCATCGCCTCCATCTGGCGAGGCTTTAGCTGTAGGTGTAGGGGAGAATGGGGTAGACGAGGCAAGCGACTTTTGTCGGGCCAAGGTCTTAGCGTATTCAAGATCGCGATAGAGGGCCTGGATTGCAGTGGCCACACCGTCTTCCTAAACAAGGAATATCAAATTAGCACTCCATCCACTTAGCCTAAGTAGACTTGGAATAACTCACCTTGCGAATCTGAATGCCCAGATTCCGTGCCTTTACAATCATGCGTTCGCTGTGCGTTGCCTCCCAGAGAGCCCGCGAAAAGACACTGACGTTCAGTTTCTTCATGCAGATGCCAACCCCTAGATCCTCCACCCGGGAGCCGAAGAAGAACTGATCTCCGAAGAATGGCTTGACGATGGTGGGAACGCCAGCTCGAAGACTTGCGCCGGTGGTTCCTGCTCCGCCATGGTGGGCTGCAGCATCGATTTTCGAGAAAAGCCAGTCGTGGGGTGCAGATTGGATCTGAAGAATCTCTGGTGGTAGAGGTATCTCAGCCTTCATGCTAGCTGGGTCACCAAGCCTATCGGACCACCCCTTTGAGAGGATGCATCGGACATCTGCTTTCTGGACTGATTCGATGACAGTCCGTGTCAGGGCAGAAGGATCCGAGACCACAATGGATCCGAACCCGATGTACACGAGCTTCTTGCCATCCACTCTGGCTTGCGCAATGAAGTTTGATAGTTCAATTGGAGGAGTCCAATCTGTGCCCTCATTCAAAAACCAGTAGCCGGTAATGCGAATCCAATCCGGGTAATCGAGAGGCGGGGGCACCACGGAGGGCGAGTAATTATAAAGGAACGGGACTTTGTTTTGCTGCATCTTGTCCAAAGTTGTGGCCTTCAATCCTAACTCATTGTTTCGCCAGCGGTTCACTTGGCCCGCGATCGCCTTCCAGAAGATGTTGTCGAACATGACGTATGTGATGTAGTTGTATGCTCCACCCATGCGATTCTCTGGCACTGCGAAAGCATGAGGATACGCCCGTGTTCTTGTCCATGGCATGGTGAACCCGCGGAAGTATGGAATCCTTAAAGCCTCTGCAATGTGAATTCCGGCCATGGCGCTCGGTGACTCGATTAGAAGGTCACTACCCTGACAACCAATCCAAGCCGACGACAAAAGATCATCGATCCATCCTCTGAACTTCAATGAAGCTTCCCTGAGGAAGGAATATGTGAACATCCCGTTCTCCACGCAAATGCGCATTAGCTCCGCAGGATCACCGTCAACGGGAGCAAAGTCAATCCCGTGTTTTCTGATCCAGGGCTCAAACTCGGCATGAGTCGCAATCTTCGGTTTATGGCCCTCTGCAAGCAGTCCTTTGCAAAGCGCGATGTACGGCTGTACATCGCCCCGGGAGCCGATGGTCAGACAGGTAATCCTTAGAGGCTTGGGAGGTTTGAAGTTGATAATGGAAGCGCGAGGATCGTCAAAGAACGGATGTATCTCTGATGAATCCTCAGTGAAGCTCGGACGTGCATCATGTTCCTCGGGACTGTCCAGTCTTGCTTCCTGAAGCATGCGGTGCTCAGCCTTAGCTGCTTCAACTTCGTCTCGTTCTTCATCGGCTAGCAAGCCAGATTCTACCAGATATTTCACTGACTCCAGATTTTGATGCAATGTGACTGCACAGTCATCCCGTGAACCTGAGGCATTGAACTCAAAGAAAAGCTCTTCATGACCACGGATGATGACAACAAGTCCATGGTATCCAAAACGGAAGCCTTTCTCCTTTTCAACGTTCTCAATATCTTTGAACGGTAGAATCATTTTGGTCCGGGTACCAGGAATCAGGCTCCGGAAACAAAGTTTCTTCTGACTTATATAGATCTTGCCATACAGCGGGAGCACACGATGCAAGTAGGCGTAATAAGTCGCCTGCAGTCTTTCGGTAGACGGAAGAGCAAAGTGTGCACGAAAGCGATCCCCGTAGTTAAATGCACCTTCCTTGTCCTCAGGATCAACGTTCGGGTCTTCGAGCAATGGCCCTTCTCGCTCTCCATAATGCTTCTGGCCACCAATCCACATGCCAGAGACCTTTTCTATATAGCCCATTGACTCTGTTGCTAACAGTGTACTCATCTGTTTCGAGCGGCTCTTCAAGTATTCTGCAAAACCAGCGGCGCGTTGAAGGGGATATGCGCCCGCTTTGACAAGCTCGTTCAGATGAGTAACGGAGCTCGGCCGTGAGGATTGCATTGGATTAGATTGGCCGATGGTATATCGCGCGTCTTCTGTGGTTTCATTACCACCCAATGTTCCAGATGGAGAGCCTGCCGCTGCACCCAGGTCCAGCCGCGCAGACGCAGAGGGAGTCGTATCATCAGAATGTCGTCGAATGGTTTCTCCCACATCCAATGAGCGTCTTTGCAGTGTGCGCATAGTGGGTGATTGAAAGACGTCGCTTCTGTGCAGTATCTGACTGGCCGATTCAGTGGTGTCTGTCATCGACTGTACAATCGGCGATGATCCGGTCCCTTGCTCCGCAAATGAGTCCGCCGAGCCTTGATTTTCATTTCCTACACTGGAGCTTCGTTTGCGTGGTGAATGTTCCTGTCTCTGATCGGACACTCGAACGCTGCTGACTGACTGTCTTTTATGGACAGTACGACTTGATTCGGGTTGATCCTGCGGCTCTTTCGTTGCGTTGGTAGCCGATACAGCATTGACCAGGCCTTTGATGTAATTGAACGCGTCCTGTCCCGAATCAAAGAACGAGAAAAAGTACTGTTAATTGATCAGCAATGAACATAGTAATGTTTCGTCCCACGACCTACCTCGTCAATTGCATATGTTTCGCCGCTATCGAGAACTCTAATCTTGAATGTCTCCGCGAAATCGGCCATTGGGCTCTCCTCCAGGTCAATAACATTCGCTATTGGGAATGATACTTTGACACTGTCACCTTCATTATGCGTCCGAAAGATGACTTTCTGGAGAGCTTTCACCCATTCCTTTGCACTGGTAGCACTGTCTGCTCTGAACAAATAAGTCCGCTGATCAGTGGTGACCTGAAAGTCTTTCGCATCACCATCTTTGCGTTCTGCGAGAGACGCAGAGATCCCATAACGAAGATCGACATGTCCGCTAGGAAAATAGAGATTGGAGGGATCAGCGTAGTATGAAAGGACATCTCCCTTCAGAGCAAACCAATAGCGATGATACGCGGGGTTCTTGCGGCCGCGTTTGGATAGGTACCCCGACTTTATCGCCACGTTGGACTTCTTTGGGAGGTAGGCGTAAAAGCAGATGTGGCCTTCTGTCACATACATGTAGCCTTGAAGAAGCATGCTCTGGAGCAACGAGCAGGCATACTCCACCAGAACCTTTTCAGGCTTCGCAAACTCAAACATCTTCATCAGTCGCGTAGAAAGAGCGGACGCAGATGATTGTGGATGGTCTTCCATGAGTTTGTCTGGATTATGGGGTGGCGAGCATGGAGTTGCTGATGTCAAGTCAAAGTGAGACTGTGCTTCAACCATGCGACTTAGAACTGGGGCTGCTCGCGGTGTCGCACTGCGAGTTCGCCTTAGAGGAGGTATTTTGAGCATCGAGTCGCTTTGGTTTGATGGCTCGATTGCCCCGCCTTCTGGGTCTAACTTGGGTAATCTCTGCAAAAGCTTATTGTCTGATCTTGCTCTTTGATGGCGACGTCCTCTTTCTTCCAGAACGAGTGTGTTTGATTCCGTTCTCTTGCTTGGTTGGCGGGAGTGCAAGGATGGCACAGGCGGCGGCGTCGGAGATGATGCTTTCCCACTCGTTTGTTCCATCCGCGGGTCTTCCATATCTCCGTCACTATCACTTGATTCCTCAAACCGGGTATGGAAGTCCGACTTGGATCCGACAGCAGCAATCATGGAAAAGAGGGACTGCTGCATATAATGCACGTTTCCGTCCCGTGAACCCATACCTTGCGGCGGAGCTGTGAAATCAAACTGGGCATCATCCCCATCCTTAAATTTGTCTGGCACCCGATCTGAAAATGGACGGTTGGACGAAGTAGGTTTCATACTTGCGCTCAACTGCCGGTCTGCCCGGCGTTTGGCATCATCTCTTAATGGTCTCATCCTTATCTCTGGTATATCGATATCATACAATCGATGCAAAATGTAGTTCAAGGACGGGAGTAAACGATGCTAGGGCGTGGTGAATCACTAAGATCGGTCGGGCAGGCAGAAGCTCGAGCCAGGTGACGGCGCTGATAGGACTATGATCAGGTATGCACTAGTCAAATGCGACGATATCAACCTGGACATCAAATGACTTTGTCATATCAAAACTTTGGTCAGGCGCCAGATCGTGATAAGCAGGGTTAATGGTGAACAACGCACGGGATTCCAGGGTCTAGGCCGATAAGCGCTTTGAAGCTTGGACACTAGATATGGATGAAGCTGTCAAACCACACTCCAAATCATCCAAGCGCCATGGTCTATATTGCAAAGATAATGGAAATGGAAATAATGGAAAGAAAGCCCAAATCTAAACAAGAGTCCATAGAAATCTCAGCATGCACATTAAGGGAGAAACATCACCTGGGCTCTCTCCGCACGCATGTGATCTATGACTCCATCGTCCTTATGTCAGCTGGCTGCCTGAGGCAAAATTTGTAGATCATATCTATACAGCATTTAGTTATGCTTTATAGGCTATCTTGCGTTATGCCTCTTCTATTTTCTAATACTTCTTCTAACTTTGACTTGATCGTATGACTTAGTTACTTTGTTGAGATTCAAAAGCAAAAGCAGTTGGTCTTAGCGATGGTTAAGCTAAGCATTTGGGGATCGGCCGGCAATTATTGATCCTAGATGCTATCTAATGTTGGATGCCGGATTGAAGTTGAAGCCAGTCACTTTATGTTGAAGGAAATCCTAGCTTAGAGCAGCATTTAAGGAGGAGCTCATCGGACTATACTAATTGCTTCCGTCTTATGACAGCAATATAAAAAAGAATAGGCAATGGAAAAGCCAAACTCATGTAGCATTGTTCAAATTGCAGCCGGCTATAAGAGCTACCTGATCCAAGATGAAAGGTAAGATTGTAAATTGTACATAGTATTGGGGACGTCGTTAGAACAAAGCTATTCTCAAAAAACACTAACGCCAAATCATGCCTTTTCGGACTTCTTCCGCTTCTTTTCTTCCTTGTCCTTGTGGGACTTCTTGGACTTCTTCCGGCTCAGACTATCATCCTCCTTTTCTTGTGAGTGCTTCTTTGACTTCTTCCGAGGAAGCGCCGCAGCTTGGGGAGCTTCATCCTCAGCTTCATCGTGATCAAGCTTCCTCTTCCGTTCCTCTCCCCTGGGAACCTTGAACGAAGGCACCTCAGCCTCGGATTCCGAGCTAGATCCAAGGGTCTCTGGAGGCGCACTGGTTGTACCGACAGGCCGGAAGCGCATCTTCAAGTTCTTCGGCTGTGGCCGGGCTGGCTTGACGTATTTGCGCATTTCGGCCACTGCAGCATCGGTGTTTTTTGATGTGCTTGGAAGACCGATCATTTCTTGGACGTGGTAACTTGGAACGCTGTGGGCTGCTGTGCAATATGTTTGTGTCTTCTCGTCGAAAAGAAGTAGCGATTTGGTCGCAGGATCGGCCTCGGAAAGAGCCTCGACTGGGATGCCGTAGTTCACACCGTCGTGGGAGATGATCGGTTCACCCTGCATGATCTTGGCCATGCACACCTCTTTGACCTTGGACAAAGGCAGAGAGGCTGGTGCTGTGAGGTGGAGGACTTGTTTGTCGTTGAGGTTGGAGAGAAGGGAGGAGGCCTTTGAGGATGGCGGGGCCTGCTTCTTTGCAGACTTGAAACCCGCTGGTGGTTTGTATGGCTGAGGACCGGAGAGTACAACTCTATGGGCACAAGGATTAGTTACTATCAGAACTGATAAAGGGATGATCTCTTACTTCTTGCCTGAGCTGGAGTCGGGCTTCATTTCGTTGGAATCGTCAGAGTCGGAATCCGAGTCCGAACCTGAGTCTGAGGTTTCTTCCTCGCTTGATTCCTGCGCCTTCAAGTGTTTCGTCATTTTTTTCTCTTTTTCGGTTGTAAGTTCAGGCGAGGTCGATCTGCTCGAGCTGCTATCGCTGTCGGATGATGCCATGGCGGCTACTCTGTGTTGGGCAAACTCGAGGTCGAGACTAAAATGCTTTCGCAAGGATGCGCGGCGCTTGGCACACTCTAAATTCACAAGATGAATGGGATGGAACAACAGAGTAATGCACAGGATATATAAGCGAAGTTTAGCAAGGCCGATTTCGCAAAATGAATTGGACCGATGTTGAGTGAGAATGCTCAGGTCCAACGATCTTTTTTTCTGCTCCGCGGGAGCACGGACCACCAGTCAACTTTTTTTGCTTATCGGCTTTGGATCGCATTATCGAGGTCATTTTCCTTTCGAACACAAGCTTAAAAGCCCATGAGCTTGAATCGTATAATATCATGGTGAAGCGAAAGGCCGAAAAACAGCAACCAGCTGGTAAGCCCTCTTTCCATGTTCTACAACACCAATTTGAAGCTCACATGTCTTTCTCTAGGCCCTGTTAGCGCTGTCGCTGCTTTAGCAGCGCGCAGAGCTCGACAACAGCAAGCGCAAAGCGTGAATGCACCAAAGGATGCGCCACAAGCTATTATTGAGAGCGAACCGCCCTCGAAAAAGTCGCGACAGTCTCTCGAGGGACCCGAAGCGACTGAGACAAATGAAAAGCATCGTGGTACACGGACAAAGGCAGCAAAGAAACCAGATGAGCCATTGCCCGCAGAGACAATGCCCGAGCGCCCAGTAAGAGTTACCCGGCCTCAAACTTCGGAAGTGAAGTCAGAGGTGGAGGATACTCTTAAGCACCCCGAAGACAAGCAGTCTGAAAAAGACCAAGTCGAGGATGCGGGAGAGATGGATGAAGATGATATTGCGTCTGTTGTGGGTGATGCCGATGGTTATGAATCACCCGCAGAAACACCAGCAGAGCTCCAGAATTTCCCTCTATCCAAGGCTCGGTTGAACAAAAGCAACATAGTCTACAGTGATGAGAGCACGCTTTGCATTCGCATTAAGGAACGGACGGTATGGATGAACCTTTCCGGCCATTCGGGGTGAATACTGACTTTGCCTTAGAACCTGGCGTTGTTGGGCCATTATGATCTCTGGGTCAAAAGAGGTGTTGTCAGTCTGATGGGCGCAAAATTACATCCGTCCTCACAACTGCATAGAGTTTACGCTCCCTCGACTCACTCTTTGCCAGTCATCAAATGTGTTGCTGGAATTGATGGCGACGCAGAAGTGGAGATCAAGACCTGCACCAGCGGCATTTCCCGCCTCCGTGACCTCTCGCCTCTGTATCAAAGGATCTGGGCCGGCGAGAACACCGCTGCAGATAAAATCACCCTGAAAGGGGCCGCAAAAGACTCGAAGCGGACTTTTTCAGTGGTATGCTATCATACTCTGCTCCAGATCGAGCTGTGTTCAAAGCTAATTGACTTGACAGTTATATACATCGGCAGATGATTCCTTAAATAGACATATCCGACCACTTCACCTTGACAAGAAATGGAGCGCATCAATGAAAGCTCTCTCACAACGTGAAGGACAACTTCGGGTTCTAATCTGTGGCCCCAAGGCATCCGGAAAGTCTACCTTTAGTCGCTACTTGTTGAATCACGTTCTCAGTCCAACACCCGAGACCGAGAACGGATATACTAATACCGATGGAGTTGCTTTCCTGGATCTAGACCCAGGCCAGCCTGAGTTTGCCCCTATGGGTCAAGTTTATCTTGCACGCTTACGCTCTCCATTTTTCGGTCCGCCTTTCACGCACCCTTCATTGGACGATTCCCGTGACGGTGAAATAGTGCGGGCGCATCATATTGGCGCAGCATCGCCAAAAGAAGACCCTGATCACTATGCGCTGGCCGTCATGGATCTTATGGATCATTACCGCTCGTTGTTGGAGAAACATCCCCAATGCCCTCTGATTATCAACTACCCCGGTTGGATCTTTGGACAAGGATTAGAGGTTGCAACTTGGCTGGTCAGATCTCTCGGTCTCTCTGATGTGGTATACATGAGTGAAAAGGGCCCATCAGAAGTCATAGATCCGTTAGGTCTGGCTGCCCGTGAAGCTCGAGTCCCCTTGACAATCCTCCCATCCCAGCCCACTGATTTTGTGAGCCGATCAAGCGCTCAATTGCGAGCGATGCAAATCCAATCATACTTTCATATGTCTTATCCAAATGATCTCAGCACTTCGCTTTGGTCAGATGTACCGCTATCTCGCACAAGGCCCATTACTGTGGACTATGCTGGTGCACGACAGGGCATTCTAGGCGTCATGGTCATGGGATCCCAGATCAATCCCGATCTACTGCACGAAACGCTTGAAGGCGCTATCGTAGGAGTCGTGGCAGTGGAATCGCCGAAAGCTATTATGAGTGGGATGGCAACATCAGAGCCACCGAATGACGAAGACCATGAGGACATTGACATGGATTCAACAAACCCAGGCGCAGGTAATCCAGCTGATATTTCCATCGCTGACAGCATTGTACGAACCTCCGAAGACCTTCCTTACCTCTTTGTTGGTTCCGGCAGTTGCACCCCATTGGATCCCAAAGCGTCAAACTGTCTTGGTTTGGCTTTGGTCCGCTCGATCGATACCTCTTCGCGCAAGCTTGAGCTCTCCACTCCTATTCCCTCATCTCACCTAGAAAAAGCCATCGAGCAAGGCCATGGCATTGTGCTGGTCCGCGGCCAGCTTGATAACCCGAATTGGGCTATCAGTGAAGAATACTATGCCGCCCGTGCGGCAGAGCGGCGCTACCAGCAATCGACTTCTGGGCCAAGGAAAGCTGGAGACTCTGGCAGTGAACAGGCACACGAGCTCGATCCAGCTGAGCATAGTCGGACGCTTGCACTGCTCCGAGAGAGGGTTCGCCGGGCGAGCAATGTGCCTTGGATGACTGTCGTGGAAGATAACAGTCGTCACCAGCGTGAAGTTGCTGCGCGACGAGAAAAGTCACTTTGGAAGTTGAGGAAGAAGGCATATCCCGGCAGCGAGAGCGAGGCGGACTACTAGCACCCACCTATTAAAGATCTCGACAGTGCGCTGCTGTATCTCATCAAAAGACAAAATGAAAATGCAGCAATAGGTTGCACCCACAACGTTACTGGTTTCTAAGTTACTCGTAAGTGTTATGCCGGGGTCAGACTCTCTTGGCTCGTTGTCCTCTTCATTGGTCTCCTTCTCTGTCTCGTCTTCGGGAATAGGCTCAGCAATCTCTTGTCGAACCTTCTGAAGGAACTCTTGGGTGCTATTCTCGTAAGGGTCGAAGAAAATTTGATAGGCAACGGCGAGCGGCGGGGGATCTTACGGTGTGGGCCCTAGTAGGGTGACCCTCACAGTAGGATACCCCGGCACGCCGGTGCCTACGCAAATTATGTGAGTTACTTCTCTTCGAACTCAGGTACTAACAGGTTCTTAAACACTCCTCAGGGCGGTCAGCTTCTTAAGAACTTTGCTGTCGGCATTTGCGGTGCCCAGCAGGGCTGGTCCATGTCCGAGTTTATTGGCCAGGAGATCACACGCATTCGCCAACTCGTCGGACCAACCGGACAGGTACTTGGTACCGTGTCGGGCGGCGTGGATTCTACAGTTGGTATGCTATGCCCGGCACTCTCCCTTTAGATCCTCGCATATGAAGTTTTAGGATTGCCTTCGAAATTAGAGTTCTGCCAGGAAGGTGGTACAACTACTGGCATGGCAGAACTCCATTAGGAAGGCAGTACTAATCTCCTAGACGACATCACTAACATTTGTCTTCTCTAGCTGCTAAGCTGATGACCGAAGCTATCGGTGACCGTTCCCATGCTGTGCTAGTCGATAACGGCTGTATGCGTCTAAATGAATGCGAAATTGTCAAAGATGTGCTGCAGAAGCAGCTTGGTATCAATCTTACCGTTGTCGATGCCAGCGAGGAGTTTTTAAACGGGTTGAAGGGCGAGCACGATCCCGAGAAGAAGCGCAATGGAAAGTTCATCGACGTCTTCGAGGAGGAGGCCCGCAATATCGAGGCTAAGAGTGCCGGAAACGTCGAGTGGTTCTTACAGGGCACTCTCTACCCAGGTAAGATTATTTCTACTCATAACTTAGTGAACATGACTCGGTGAATTAAGCTAATATCTTTCCAGACGTTATTGAGAGTATCTCATTCAAGGGTCCTTCGCAGACTATCAAGACTCACCACAACGTGGGTGGTATCGCCGAGCGTCTTATGGCCGGCCACGGCCTGGAGCTAATCGAGCCTCTCCGCGAGCTCTTTAATATTGAGTTCCGCGAGCTAGGCCGCCAGCTCAAGATCTCCGAGGAGCTTTTTGGCCGTCACCCCTTCCCTGGTACGTAAACCTATACAGTCTGTAGATCTAAGATCTAAGATCTAACACTATCTCTAAGCCCCGGTCTCGCTATTCGTGTCTTAGGCGAAGTTACTAAGGAGAAGGTCGATATGGCCCGGAAGGCCGACCACATCTTCATTGGTATGATCCGCGAAGCCGGTCTGTACGACGACATCGGCCAGGCGTACGCCGCGCTAGACCCCTCGCGCGCCGTTGGTGTTATGGGCGATAAGCTTGTGTACGCTAATATTATCCTCCTCCGCACCATCTCCACGAAGGACTTTATTACCGCCACTCCCTACCCCTTCGCCTACGACTTCCTGACCAAGGTCCCTACCCGCATCGTCAACGAAGTCGAGGATGTGTGCCGTGTCGCATACGACTTCACTAGCAACCCCCTCCCCCGGCGGTATTGAGATGGAGTAGATCTTTGGTATTTTCTTGGGTTAGGGTTTGCTCGTATGTGAGGGTTATAATAGAAAAGTTTACACTATTACTACAGATTTAGCTACAATGATTGGATACAGGTTACAAGTCCATGTGCATAGAAAGGAATCAAGTTTATTATTTCATAATAACGGCGATCAATGGTCGGATCATTGTTGCTGATAGTGGGAAGTCGGTTGCGGCGGCTGGGGATACTTTCTGGAATCTCAATGTTTTGGATGTCGGTGTCATTTGAGCTTGTATCCTCTGTAATGACAGTATGTCGTGCTGTATCCCCATTGCTTCTACATCTGGAACTAGCTCTGTATGGTTTTTGATATTGGCAGCAAAGCCGGCCCTACATGGAGGCACGACTGAAGTTATGTTATGGTATGGACATGACATCTCTCTCTCTTCCTCATATTATCCATTGCAAATATTTGCACGGATAAGTAAAAAAGAAGAATCCAATACAGACAAGAGAAATAGAAAAGAAAAAAAAAACGCCAGATGCGCCAGGTCCCGACTCATCTCCGAGCCCCTCCTCCATGCGAAATCTATCGTCTGTTCGTCACTTGATCGGGGGTGGGATTCATGAACTCATGTCATGGATGGAAATCAAATTTTCCCTCGCACAGCTTTTTGGAGATTTTAAAAAAAAGGTGATACGAAAAGAGGAAAGAAGTGAAACATTTCGAATCGACGCGGAAAAAAGAAATTCAAGAATAAAGAGCTTCCGTAGTAAGCGCTTATGCGGGCAACTCGAAGCCACGACGGATGACACGACCGAACTGCTCGATGCCGACATGCTCGCTCTTGACCTCGGAGCGGGCCTCGTTCTCCTTGTTGGTAGGCACGCGGATGACGGCGCCATCAACCTTCCAGCCGCAGACATCGACGACGAACTTGTCGAGCGCGTCACGGCTGCGGACGTCGAGCCAGGACTCGAGGTTCTCCGCGGTGATGGAGCGGAAGGTGTTGCCGACCTCGACGGCGATGCGGATGCGAACGAGTTCCTCGAATCCGGCCACGTCGGCGGTCAGGTCTGCGTACAGGTCGTCCGAGTTCAGGGTGGACCAGAACTGGGCGTACTGGGCGGACTCGAGGAGGGTGGACAGGCGGGTAAGCTTCTGGACGGACTCGACGAAGTCGGAGGTCTGCGAGGCGGATTGGGCCTCATTGGTGGTGGGGAAGGGCTGGGTGTTTGTTGGGAGCAGGGCGAGGCAGAGCGAGAAGGCGGGCGAGGGGAACACTGTCAGGGCCTTGGCCAAGATGTTGGTCACGGTATCGGGTTGGATAAGGTGGGGGTTGAACTGGAAGCTGGATTTTTTGAAGAGGGCTACTGTCAGCTTGGGTTCGAGAATTCCACAATGACTTGAGGTATTTGTGAGAAGTATGCCATGCTGTTGGTTCCAACCAATGCATGGGTTCTTCCCGTTCAGTATCTTCACAGAATTTCTCAACATTCCCAAGCATATTATGGGGACGTCAGGTAATAGGAAACGCATAAAAGATACTCATCATAGTAGAGCTTCTCAAATATGATTTTCGCAATGCATGCTTCCATGAAAAGAAGGGGTCCAACTCACAGCTTCAACAGGGCCAAGTTGGCGTAGCAGTCGAATGACCGGTCCTCGCACTGCTGGGACACATAGTCCTGGAAGACAGTGGTGGTCTCGGGGTTGTACCGGTCGAGGCCATTGAGGATGGCCTCAATATGGGCCGGCCGGGTCTCACACTTGTCGAAGGCGACCATTTTGATATAGCTGGAGGGAGGTGGGAGGTGATGCGGGTCTTTTGTCTCTGCTGTTCTTTTTGGTGGGATTTTCCAAGGTTTGATTGTGGCCGTGGTCGGATTAACCCGGAAGGGTACGTTTACCCGGAATTCTTCCGGACTATATAACACACATTTACAATAAAACTCGAGTCTCCGAAAAAGTGGCCAATGGCCATGGATTCATTCGTGTTCAAATAATACATAGAATACATGTCTCTTGAATGCCTCGTGCGATCGTGACATCTCAATCATAACCTAGCACCAGTCCCAAGAATGGAAACCCGCTAAACAGACGTGCTTGAATCGTTGAACTTCGTGAAGATCGAACGAGGTGCCCAAGAGAAGAAGCATATCACTTCAAGAAAAAAACTGAAATCAAGGCTGGAAAAACAAGAAACTCCGTTCCGTGTTTGTGAGACGCCATTGTCTATCCCATATCGCAAAAAAAAAAAAGAAAAGGCCGAATCCGTATGCAAAATGAGCAATGCAGAAATCGGTCGAAACACCTTGCCAACCCGCATAAAAGCACAAAAAGAAGCGCAAAAAAGAAAAAGAATAAAACAAGGTCAAAGTTGAAGGTGCCTGAAAAACAAAAAGAACAAAGCAGGCGGGTATCTCAATAAGAGGTTCATGCAAATTATGAAAAGAATATTTCAAGCCATGACGGGCCGACGAGGGGCAATGGGAATCGCCTTGGGTCCCGCGGAAATTTCAAGGTTCGAGATGTCCATGTCGTCGGCGTCATACTTCTGGCCGTCCTTTGGCTGTCTTGCCTTGGAGACGAGGACTGGCTGAGAAGGACTGGGGGTTTCTTCGTCGCCCACAGTGCTGCAGACAAAGCGTTCCTCGCTGAGAGGGATTCCGCCAAACATTGAGCCCAGCTGTTGGAGAAGTGCGACGAAATGAGCATGCAATTCGGTGAAGATGTATTCATTGCCGACGATTTCGGCCAAATTACGGGCACGAATCTGGCCTGCCGCACGCCGGCCCGCCGGGTCCATACCCCGGCCGGTGAGGAAGGATGAAACGGGAGGGTACTGGCGGCCGGGCTGTCTTCCCGGGTTGTTCTGCTCATCGCGGGTCTTCTCGTCTTCCTGGAAGCGCTCAGCAGCGTGGACAATGCTGGTTGCGATGCGGCCGAATGCCCGCCAGATGATGGGGCATGCGCGGAACGCTCTTCCGGCATCTCGGCCGGCCAGTGCGACCAGTGCATAACTGCGTCGCTTGCCGCGGGCCATGGGGTCTATAAGGCGAAAAATGTAGGCAATTGTGTAACCAGCGACGCCGTCGCCGAAGCAGATGGGGCCGGACGAAAGTCCCCGGGGCAAGAGCTCACAGCTTAGGGTGCGAATAGACGATCGTCGGAGAAGTGCATAGTCAGCGGGGTTAGGCGGCCCGCGCTGGGAGAGATAGGTGTGAATGTGTGTGTGACATGAACCATCGGAGGCAACCGAGGCAGAGTGAAGTGAGTCGGGAGGAGAAGCATGGTTGTGATAGTCGGTCTCATCATCCAACTCTGAATGGTTGTTGCCGCATGAGTAAACTAGCTCGCGCGAGCGGAGCACCGGGCTAGTGGAATTGCCTTTTGCATCGCGACTTCCAGGCGCACCCGGAGGTAGCTGTTTGCTCACATTTTCTGGCAGAGACAAGCTACAACTGGCGCAACTGTCGCCATTTGCACCACCTCGGTTGGATTTATCTTCGGGTGAGGCCGGATGGCCTTTGAGGAAGTACGGGTGATCTTCAATTCTGGGCGACTTAGACTCGGCAGATTTCTGAGATCGAGACTCGTGATCGAAGCGAGACTCGTGTGAAGCCGGGGTACCCTGGGGAGAGTGATCGGATTCGGGGTGACATTGCGGACATGAAAAAGGTAGGACCTGTGAGCAGATGATAGAAGTGGGACCATGCACCTCGCAGAAGTGCGTCAAAGAGAGCTGAGAATGTCAGTCCAAGCTCATCATAGTATGTACTTTTTTTTTATACTCACAATGAAATCCATGGTGGACCGGATCAAGCAATAACCAGCATCTTTAGTCCATTGTCCCAAGGCATGCTGTGACTGGATAATGACGAAAAGACTGGTATGCGGGTCCACACAGCGACCAGATTCCAAGGGAAAGAAGGTTTAAAAAACAAAAAAAAGAAAGTCAAAGGAAGAGAAGGGCAAAGAGTTGAGATATTAAAGAGAAGAGGAAGAGAGTAGTGGAGTAATGTGATAAATAAGAAGACAAGCAATAATAATTGAAGGGGCTAAGGCCCTGGGGGGGGGGAACTCTTTTCGGTGGAAGACCGGGAGTTACATACGGGCACTTCCCAAATGGAAGGTCGATGGAAGAAAAGAACTTCTCCACTGGGAATCCACTGGGAATCCACTTCCTTTTTATCTTTTCTGATTTTCTTCTCTTCATTTCTTACTTTATATCTCTTACTGCTTTATCTCTCTACTTTGTATACTTTGTAATTTGTATGTAATCTATACTTTTTGCCCTTTAGATATAGTTACACCACCCTTCCGGATGCCTTCCGATCACATTCTTTCATGCTCTTCTCCTGGATTGCTGCATGTGAAAGTCATTCTAAAATCGGGCCGACCATTAATATTCATGGGTTTCCGTGCTTTGCCTAGCGCATTGTCCCGAGGGGCCGTTCTCGTCTGCCCTTGGACCGTTGCGTACAAGTGGATATGGTGGCTGCAAACAGGGGCTCCATTGTGGGAATATGTGTGGTACCAATGATCATGCAGATAATTCAAGTGAATATTATTACATCTATGATCTCGATCTGGATACATATCAATCCAAATGGATTCAAGGATTCTCATTTGAAGTTGATATATCAATTCGACAAATCGTCAGGGGTACACCGCTTCCTCATTTCAGTATTCTATCAAGGGTTTTGCTTTTTTTCTTTCTTTTTTCTTTTTCCTACTTTTCATGTCACTCGAAAATCAGCATGTGTCAGATCAGTCGACAGCCGTCTCTATTCCAGCCATCAGCCCGGTGGATTTCCTCGGGGAGTAATCTGGAGATAACTCCGTGTTAGGGGCACGGTAAGGAGGTGATTGGGAAGAATTCCCTGTCCTCCGATTTGCTATGAACGTCATCATATTGGATGTGTACAATATATTTCATAGCAGTTTAGCTATACTCCCTCGCTTCTGGATAGACGATCTTCTGAAAAAGATGCTCATCTTTCCCCAAGTTGGACACAAAACAGTTCCGTGGAAAAGTGGGAATCGGGGGAAATTCCAAAGGTTAGCGTGGTCAGCAGGGATCTAAACTTTGTGTTGGGATTTCCCGACAAGCCTCCGGGAGTCGTAGGATCATAGTTGATATCCCTTTTCGCCGTTACGTTATCGTTCAGCTCTAAATTATGGGACAATGTTGTATACAATACGGAGTATACAATAACATATACTCGATGCTCATGCTCCAGGTCCAAAGATCTTCAGCATATCTCCTTCATCCGGAGGATCTTCTTCGGAGTTAATCTCCATTGAATCAGTTATGGATCCCTTTCATCCGTCCCGTCCAAATGGCAAACGGAGGCGGCTAATGTACATCTCCGATCCTACTGCGTCCACCGGGCCAGGATATATTGTACAGGCTATTTCCAAAAGGTGAAACAGACCCTGACACTCCGAAATAGCAGTTGCCCCGGCATTGGGCCGGGATGCTAAATCCTAGATCCTTGCCGACATATGGAGCCAGGTGACCTCGTACGGAGTATGCAAAGTGCTGCTTACAATCAGGCAGCCTTCTACCACTAGTCGCACACTAAGTACACTAAGTAGTTATACTAGTGTACAATGTGTAGCAGCCTTCAAGTCCTGTCATCTACTTTGTATACTATATACCCCGTCTCATTCCTTCATTCTGACTATATTATGTATTCCCACCCTATCATGCCGAGGACATTATTGATTTCCGATCCATTTTAATTTATGCTGAGGGATTTAATATAATATTTGTAACCAGAAAAAAAAGAATAAAAAGAAAAAAAGAAAAAAAGCCCGGCAAACCCACTGGATAACCCACTGAACACGAGCGGATCCCTTATTATTTTCGCCACCAAATAGGCACACGACACTTAACGGGTTTTGATGGATTGCCGGCTTCCATACTATTTATTTCCGCACTAAGGAGTACTCCGTGTGTTGTAGTATTTCCATTCCCTTTTTACATTAACATTTTACATTCTATCCAGTACTGGACTCACCTTAAAACACTTACACTTCTTGTTTCACAATGTTCGTTCTACTAAACGTGAGACAAAATGTATATTATACCTTGCAGAGTATATACAACATAGTGTAATAGTGTAATTGAGTTTATTTGTTACCCACCATGAACTGGATACCCGATTGTTTTGGGCAGGTAGTTTATGTACGGAGTACGTAAATTCTAATATGGTTCTCATGCAGAAGTGGATCGGCTTATGAGACATCTTTATATTGCCCCGAGGTCAGGAACAATCGGTAGGCTAAACACTTAAGTCGATCCAAGACATGGACGATCTAGCCAATCTAGCCACGTGGAATTCCTAACGTACAAAATACTAGATTTGATGATCAGCGTTTTATATGCAACTTACAGCATAGTTACATACTTTGTAGGTACCACATAACTAACTAACTAGTTAACTCCAACTTATAACATTGTACAATATATTCGACATCATTGAATCTATGAGCATAGCCTTAATAGAGGCCATAGCCTTAATAGAGGCAACTCACAAGACCTGGTCGGGCAACTCGCCTCGACAGGACCGTGGTTCCATCGTGGACAAATCACCGCTAATATATATGGGTACACGCCTCTTCGTGCGGTCGCCACCCGGCGGGTATGCCAGTCTACGTGGCTCATCGGGTTGATCGTCATGTATTATGCGTGTTGTGCAGCTGTATGCCTTTGATGACGACCTCGGGATGGATTGCCCTACTAACTAGCCCCACCAACGCTAGCAAGTTTATTCAAGCAGCTGGGGACGTCCCGTTGAACCATATATTTTAGGAGAGTGGAACATGTTTAATGAAAATAAACAAGTTTTATGACAGTTATATTTACAGATAGACGCCTATAGGTGTATGAGGATTAAACTTGAACTGTCTCATGACATTTGGCCGGAAGATGTGAGGGTTCTAGCAGGCATTTGATATATTTCCACAAGTTACATATTTAAAAGGGTATATAAGTTTTTAACCTAAAAAAGACATCAAGATTGTGAGGCAATAAAGCCTCATTTAGTCGCCCTGGGCGGAATTGTTAAGCCCGACCGATGATCACCTTCTAACTCTCCAAGGAAGTCGGACATGGATGGGTACAAGTTGAACCCACCTGAAAGATGGAAAACTGTTTTTTCTTGTTTTCCATTAATAGCCATCATGGCATTTGCAAGATACCGCGTTATCAACCCCGTTATCCCAGGGGCGGGTGTGTAAGGCGATATCACAGAGCCACATTGACCACCTGGGCATCAACCACAATAGGAACAGCCCCTTGTCTTTGGTCGACGGATCGCCTTGTCTAGAGAAACAAGACATTTCTTCAGTCAATTTCATGGAGCTGGCATTAAATCCATTGCTGATTCAGAGTCTGTTCTTGCCTTCTGAGGCATGCCGAATGATTACTCACACACATGTACTATCATCCTCAAGGGCGATCATATTTAGGCATGCGCATGTTCATCATTGACAGCATATTGCCCGCCGGACCAGAAGCTCCAGCTTGGCCTTGAAGACTCTCCAGCAAATTCTTAGCGAGGTTGATGTTGATGTTCTCATCCTCATCATCTTCATTGGAGGTCTTGGCAGCCTTTCCTTTGGATGCACTTGCTTCGTCAGAGGACAATTCCTGCGGGCGTCGGTTGAGATCGAGCACACCCGTTCCTTGTAATTCCGCCTCCATTCGTCGGGAAAGCTCCTTGATCTGCTCCGTGTCGTCTTCCCCGTCCGAGTCGAGGTCTTCCACTCGTTTGCGGATGGAATCGGATGCAGAGGGCATGCCCATCATCTCTTTCATCATTCGGGAGAATTCCTCTTCGTTGAATGACGCGTCCTTATCCTCGCCTTCACTGTCGACTTCTTCGTCATCATCATCATCGACATCGACATCAGAATCCGACTCAAAGTCATCAATGAAATCGGCACCATCGAAGCCCGCTGAGTTGTCATTCAGGAACTCTTCAAAGCGAGCCACGATCCGTTGAAGATTTTCCTGGGCACCAGAGTCACCGAATTTGCCAGCATCTGCTCCCTTTCCTTCGCCTCTTCCTTTGAGCTCTGTCTCCAGATCTTCATAGTTGATATCCAGCCATTTTTCATCGTCTTCTCGCTTGTCCCAGGTTTCTTGGATTTCTTGATCAGTGGGAAGGGTTTCGTCCCCTGTCTCCACATCCTCGAGCAGGAACTTCATTTCCCTGACTGCAGGCTTATCTTGATTTTGGGGGTCGTACAGCAGCATCTCGAATCCACACGCAAGTTTCATTCCCGCTTCCGCCCGCTCATATGCTTTGTGATCCTCAGTCGATGGCAGCTTGCCCGCCCAGGTATTTGGCACAGGGAATTCCTGGCTTTTGAGTTGCGCATATCCGACACGGGTAAACCGAACACTAACGTCGACCAAGTCGTCCGGCTTGAAAACAAGGTCGGACGCATCCTTCGCTCGTAGTGGTCGCAAAGCGATGGGATCACGAACATAGAACGCCTCCACAGCAGGTGAGATGTAGGCTGGCTTTTGGTGTAGGAGGAATGCAGCCTTGCGAGGAATTGTGATGATGGCGGAGTGAAGATTTTCGCTGATTTGCTGGGGGTACTTGCGCAGACGGTAAAAGGCCTCTTCTTGAATTATTGTCGAGCGAAGAAGGCGAATGGGTTCGTTCTGGATAATCTTTCGTGCCTCTGGAAGTGAAATTTTCTCGGTGACCTGTCGCTTCGCCTCCTGCTTGGGCTTGATGATTCGGAGCTCTCCTTGGTTAATCCACACCTGATCCATAGATTGGCCGGTTAGTGTGATGTCTCTAACAAGCCGATACGATTTAACTAGCCATGACTCACTCTATTGTCTGCGACATCTGGCTCTATCCATGCTGGGAGTGTCCCCGCAGCCTCAATGAGAAGAAACTCGCCATCGCCGTCCGCCACTTTGACCCAGATATCTTTGTGCCGCTTGGTCAGTTCACGGAGGAAGTACACAATGACCCATTCATCTTCAATGGAGTCGCCGAAGATGGTGCGACCCTGTAGTGAGGTGATTCCTAAACCCCGCGAAAATTAGCTTTAACTTTATTTAGAGGTAGATCTCAAGAATAAGAGTTCTGTACCATCTTCTTTTGTAATTTCCAATCGAAAGGCCTCACGCTGCCAGATGTAATCCTTGAGCAAATCTTTGGTTAAATCCGCTGCTGTACGTTGCACCTCAAGCAATCGTGCTCGGGTCTCGGCAGCTTCATCGATAACGGCGAGGGTGGGGGAAGGCGGGATATGATAAATTGAGTAGTCGACAGCGTCGTCGGGGAGCTCTGGTTTTGGGATAGGACGGAAGGTTGATTGAAACCATGCGAGATCCTCCTCAGAAGTCATGTTTGATCTTGTGCTGTCAAAGACTGTGGATGACCTCATGCATTCTTCTGATAGAAAATAGCAAAAGCGGCGAAATGCACATCCCGTGATCCACACGCTAACCCCAACTAGGTTAGAAATCAACAGAGGTGTCCACGCTAAACCTAACACAGCCGGGGATACCTCGCCCAAAACACGTCTGTGATTGTCAAGCGTGAACTTCTAGTCTAAACTTCGCTCCTGCCCTTATTGACGGTGATGGTCACGCGCTGAAAGGTTTTGGCCCACCTCTCCCTGTTCAAACATGGCCTTCCCCTACATCGACACACCGCGCACCGAATACGACGGCAACGCGACTTACCTTACAACTGGATTTCGCAGCGCGGGGCGACATCACTTATCTGCACTCGAGTCTCTTGAAAATTCATTCCAAACACCATCCAAGGACAATGATGTGATCAAAGGTTTTGACAAACGCGTCACTCCGCGCGCCGGTGCCGCTTCCAAGTCAACGAGAAGCGCGTTACGACATCTTCCAGCAACAGCCCCCGAGAAGGGAGAGTTTACTCCGTTAATGAAGAGCGCGACGAAGAACAATCTTTTGAGGAATATGTCTGCGGCCCGAGGAACAGACGGCCCGAAAACCCCGGGGTATCAGCGAGAGACCTATCGTAGCAACGCCCACACACCCGGCTTGCCAGCTATGGACATGTCTGATATATACGAGGAGGATCGGACGATGGAAGAGCCAACTCCAGTTCCACATGCCGCAAGCAGTAGTGCGCAAAGTACACCATTGCCCGGGTATTCAGGACGCAACGGAGGAATCCTTGGTGATGGAGGGAATAATTTGTCGCTCAAGGACCAAGCTATGGTATGATACATATCCCAACCATTATGTTTACAGGCAACTTTCTGCAGGCTATTGCTGACGTCCACAGGCCATTGATCAACTGAGCAAAGTCAATTTCAGTTTGAAGCTGAGGATTCACTTCATGGAAGAACAACTCCAAAAAGCTGGCCCGGAATACAATAACGACGCCTTAAAAGAAAACAGAGAACTCAAGGTCTTGCGACTAACGATGCAACGCGATATTTCCCGATACCGGAAGAGCCTCCAGCAGGCAGAGAAAGATCTCGAGGACTACCAGCTACAGCTGGTGGAATTAAAGGAGAAATCATGGAGGGAGCAAGCGGATCAAACGGTACAGCGTGAAATGGATATGATGCGCGAAGAGCTTGAATCGCGTGACCTCGAACTCCGAGAAGCGCGCGACGAATTGAGGCACATCAAAGACACCCAATCTCAAGAGACCGATAAACTTCGCGACGATATTGAGGACTTAGAAGCAAGCTCGAGAGAGAAAGATCGGCTTCTTGAGGAACGCGAAGAAGAGCTTGAGGATCTGAAACGTAACGCCGAGGAGAATGGCGCAGCTTCAGAGCTCCAGCTTGAGCTGGACCGTGCCAAGGAGCAGATGCAAGAGCTCCATGATAGTCTTGCCCGGGCCAAGTCTGAGACCAGAGAGTCAGTTGATGCCGCAAGGCAGGCCATCGAAGAGAAGGATCGTGCCGAGGAGGATTTGAGAGAGTTGCAGGACGAAATGTCGAACAAATCCTTTACCACCAAAGGATTGAGCCGGCAAATGGAGGACAGAACCGAAAAACTCGAGGAAGAGATACGTGAGCTGCAACGAGAGAACGATGCTCTGAGGACAGAATTGGAGAGTAAAACCAACCATGCGACTCTCCTCGAAGAGCGTTATCAAACTATTCAACATGGCCTAGAAGATAACGCCCACCACCTGGCTGAGGACCTCGCTGCGGCCAGGCGTGATCGTGATCAAGCCCGACAGGACCTAAAATCTACTTCTACTCGACTACAGGAGGCCTTGGACGAACTCCAGCGTGGAACGGACGAAAAGGAACTTCTCCAAACCCGCCATCAGGCGCTGACCGGTGAATCGGGGGGACTACAAATCGAACTCGACCGTGCACAATCCAGAATCCGCGAACTCCAAAAAGCGGTTCAAGACGCCACATCTCGCGCTCAGGATGAAGGGCACAACATTCGCTGGCAGCACAAGGCGGAACTTGAACGGTTGCAAGAGGAGATCGAAAACCTTCACCACGAGATTGAGGAGAAGGAGGGCCGATTTGCTGTCGATCAAAGTCGCTGGGAAAGCGCTAAGCGGACGCTGCAATCAGAGAAAGCATGGGCAGAAGGCCAAGCGGCAGACTTCAAGCGCACTATCGACACGCTTCAGGAAGCCGGTAGCACATACTCTGGGAAGGAGTCCAGGCTACAAGAGGCCATTGATAGCGAGAAAAAGCGCTACTCGCAAGAAAAGTCTATGCTGAACCGCCAAATCCAAGATCTCAAAGACGACCTCGATAAGACAAGACGCGACCTTGACGAAAAACGAGACGAGCTTCTTACGGCGAAGCAGGATGCTCGGGTATCTAGACGCGAAGAGCAAGCACTTGCAGACAAGGTGCGAGCTCTGGAAGACGAGGTGATCGTTTTACAATCGAGTCTGGCGGATGAGCAAGAACTTGCTAAGGCCCGACAAAATGGGACATCTGACCTGGACAAGAACCTGGAAAAGTCTATTGCCGAGAGACAGAAGCTCCGTGATCAGCTTGCAAATGCTCATGTCGAGATCTTTGACCTGAAGGCTTCAGCGCAGGAGATTGAGGCTGAACGCATCGAGCTCCAAGCCCAACTCGACCGAGTCCAGAATGCAGATGACACCAACCGGTTTGACCGCGACAAACTTGAACTACGCAAGACTATAACACGACTTGACAACGAGCTCAAAGTACTGCGAGACGCCAAATCGTCCCTTGAGGACCAACTTGTCTTAGAAAGTGAACGATTTGCAGCAGAGGAGGGTCGTCTTTCGGCTGAAATTGATCGCCTTCAGGACAAATTGCTTGCTGGCTCTGGTAACCGAGACCGAGAACTTACTTCGGCCAAGACGAAGGTACAGCGCCTGGAGCGTCGCGCCCAAGAACTGGAAGCTCTTCTTGAGCAGCAGCCTGTGGTGGAAAATGAACAATCTGGTGCACATGGAGACCTCTCTTTACTTCGACACAGCCTGGAGGAGGCTCGGAAACGGGAAAAGATTCTCTTACAGCGTGAATCCAAGCAAAAGTCTTCTGCGCAAAGCTACAAGTCACGAGTTGACGAACTGGAAAAGGACCTTCATGATGCGATGATGAACAAATTTGAGTCACACTCCCCACATAATTCTCCATCAAACAAGCTTCATGAAGAGCTACGCAGTCTACGAAAACAAGTGGCTGAAGCACATCGATCCCTCCAGAAAGCGAACACGAAGAACCGAGAGCTAGAACGTGCCGCGATGAAAGAAGAGGACCAAAAGGACTTCCATGAGCTCCTTAGGTCCTCCACCCTCGAGGCTGAATCATTGGCTCTGAAACTTTCCGAACGGGAAGCGCGCCTGAGCGAATTGAAGACACATGTGCGCCGGATTCGCGAAGAACGAGATGCCCACAAGCGCGAGGCTGAAGCAGCAACCAAAAATCTCGATATGTTACAAAGACGCCACGACGAAATTCTCGAGAAGAACTCCCTTTTTAAGTCAACCAACAAGACCAAACATGAGAAAGAAATCCGAGGTCTGGGCAAGGAAATCATCTGGCTTCGCGCTCGCCTACAGCGCGAGGAAAAGTTCCGCCGTGATCTTGCCTGGAGCAAGGGCCTGATGGAACTTGGTGAACGCGTCCGAGTTGCATGGTTCGTACCCGCATTTCTATCTAATATTATCTGCAATATAGCTAACAAGTTATTAACAGCAACGATGCCGATCTCCGCATGATTTCCGAGATGGGTGTGCAGGCCCGTGACCGAGCTCCTGTTTGTACTCCACGCCATAAACTAAAATCCGCCATATCACTAGTGAGGGCCGCTGTTCGCATGCAAAAGATGAGCAGCGATTGGAAGCGGACCAAGAAACTGGGGGAGGGCTTGAAGCGTGCTAAGACTGAAATGCTCAAACGCCGCGATAGCTCGAACAAGAGCTTGCTTGGCCAGTAGCCCTGGAGATCTGTTCTGTGTTTATGTCATTCGTTGTGATTTTGTCTCTTGTTCTTCCAGCGTCGACCTTCTGTCATGAGAGATTCCCCCGACATGTCTTGCAAGTATACTAGTTTTTTTTCAACTTGTTTTGTGTTTCTGTGTCTCCCTTCAATTTTTTATTATTGAGACGTTCTAGGACTGGCTTTGTGCCAGTTTGTTCGAATCATTTGTGCATAGTGTCATCCCAACGAGGAATTTGATGATTCAAGAACCGTTATTCATTTATGTAGCGTCTGCCAGTACATAAATTGAGCCTTCCAAGGTTGATTGGCATTGATTACACGTACAAGCAACGGTGAAAGAACCTTACAAGTTTGTAGTCTTCAAAGCAGTATGTATGCTACTCGCACGCTTTCCTATGACGGAGACACTCGCGGGGATAGACACATGAAATATTTGCTCACCAACGCCTCGCCATCGCCAAAAGTAATTGAGAAACGCTTCTAAACACCAAGCTCTTCGGAGAAACCCACCAAAAACACAGGAATCCGAAATGAAGCAAGCATTGACATGGACACAGATAAAGCTTATGAGAAAATGGAGACTCTGGGCAGGGGCATGAGATATTCAGCTTTCGTCTTCTCTGGACAAGCGAAGGAGCCAGGATTTTAAGTTGTCGATCAACTGAGATAGAAAGATTCATATTTCGGAGGCCATGATGGGAGGAATATATCGATCAGTTCGGAGGATACGATCAGGCGCCTTCACTGCCGAATTCTTGGGTCCAGTCGGCGTTCCTCGTGAGATCCTCTCCGCTAACGGTGGGCCGAGAGTTCTTGACTGCCTTGATGAAATCCTTCAGAGTGAGAGGTGGCTCCAGAAGCTTATCTGCATCGATGTCGAGCCAGCTCATTTCCTCTGCGCCCGCATCGCCTGGTGAGCAAGGCGTGACCTTTTCCACGCCCTCGACAAGTACCTGTAACAGAGGCGGGTCAGTCGCTGTGGATTGGAACGGCGAGAACTGGGTATACAGACCTTCTTATAATGTGTTGCTCCTTGAATCTTGCGGATTGGCTGCATCAGTGCATCCTGCACGGAAATACTAATATCGCTACCGGAGTAGCCCTCGCTTAGATCGGCCAATTGGCGGTAGTCGGTCTGGGTCATTTGACACGGCGTCGAGCCCACGGCTAGCATGAACATCTTCATTCGTGCATTGAGGTCGGGGAGACTGATGTGAACTCTTCGCTGGAATCGTCGCCGAATAGCAGCATCCAGCTGCCAGGGGATATTGGTTGCGCCCAGAATCAAAACGCCCTTGGAGTCTTTGCCGACGCCGTCCATCTGTACAAGTAATTCGGTTTTGATACGCCGTGAAGCCTCGGACTCTCCTTCACCACGGGGTCCGCACAGCGCATCGACCTCGTCGATGAAGATAATCGCGGGCTTATTCTCACGAGCCATGTTAAACAACTGCTTCACGAGTCTAGACGCGAATTAGTACGTAACTCTCGAAGCTCCCGTAGATAAAGATGTTGCCCTACCTTTCACTCTCACCCATCCACTTCGAAACCAGGTCACTACTGCTGACACTGAAGAATGTGCTGTTTGCCTCCGTTGCCACGGCTTTGGCAAGATAAGATTTTCCCGTGCCCGGAGGACCGTAGAGCAAAATACCCTTCCAGGGTTGGCGCTTGCCAGTGAACAAATGGGGGAACTTGATGGGAAGAATGACTGCTTCCTTTAATGCTTCCTTCGCGTTCTCTAGGCCAGCAACATCCTCCCACTTCACGTTCGGCTTGTCCGACAGAATAGCTCCTTGAAGCGCCGATCGAAGCTTTTTCGCTTCCGCATCCTCGCCGTTGTCGTCATCTTCTTTCCTGTACGATCCAGTGTTGTTAGCGGAAATAACGTAGGACAATAGCTCACTCGCTAACACTGTTTATCACACATATGGGGGTGCTAGAACGAGAAACCCTTGTCAAAAGAAGTCAAGTACATACCCTCCCTTCCCACTGCCTTGCGCCACCTTTCCATTTGCGCTGACCGCGCTCGGTTTTTTCCGGTCCTCGGCCAGGTGATTCTTAAGCTTCTCTGCGCGATCCATATACTCGCCGGCCTTTGAGCGGATCATCTCCTTCGATTTCGGGTTCTTCTCCCATTTCAAGGCCAGCATGAACAACTCCAGTGCGGAGTAGTACATCTGATAAGCCTTTTCGTACTCGCCATCGTTGTCATTCTCGATGGCCTTCTTGACCGTATCGATCGCCCGCCCCAGGAAATCCGTATTACTCATAATGGGTAATGCGTGTGCTGTCTGGGGTAGATGTAGCAGGTCGGCCGCGGAGGCAGATGTGATAAAGCGGGGAGAGGGGAGCAAGGGTTGGGGCAATGGGCCAAGGCTGGAGGGATAGGCAGCGAGTTGCTAGAAGAGAAAACTTGAAGCTTTTTGGTGTAGAAGAAAAGAGGAAGTGCAAAACAGCCCTAGAGCCGGGGGTTGATGGGAATTGGAGGGGAAAGTGAGAGTGGAAGTTGTTTACGGGCGGGAGCCATTGATTTTCCCTCCTCCCACTTCACCTCCAAGTTCACCATGGACGCCCAGAAACAGCTTCAAGCACTCTCGGAAGAGTTCCAGGGACTGCAGACCGGTATATCTATATATTTAATTGATGACAGCAATACCTACTAACCTTTCCCGCACATCCAGAGCTTGAGGTTTTGGTCGACGCCCGCCAGAAACTCGAATCGCAGCAGCAAGAGAACGAAGGCGTGCAGACCGAGTTCGCCTATCTGGACGATGAATCCAACATTTACAAGCTCGTCGGCCCGGTGTTGCTGAAGCAGGACAAGACCGAAGCCATCATGGCCGTCAACGGTCGGTTGGAGTTCATTGAGAAGGAGATGTCAGTGCTACTGCCTTGGCCACTGTGAACCAACAAAAGTGCATGCTGACTGAGAATCTACAGCAAGCGCATTGAAGCCGAGATTGATGCGACACAAGAAAAGAGCGAGAAGATGCGCTCAGAGGTAAACCACCCTCATCCAACTGCAATCCACCCCCACCATATGCATATTCTAACCCCTCACCCAGCTCATCCAACTCCAAAGCCAGGCTCAACAGCAGGGAGCTGCTGCTTCGGCCTCCGCATAAGGTCAAAATCTCCGAGAATCCGCAGGCGAAGAAGGATATACCACCCGGAGATGCAATAGGTGGCGGGCGAGCTACGAAGCTGGCGTCGGATGGGACCAGCCCTCAACCGGTTCACTGTAATTCAGTACATGCGCTATGCAGCCGAGAACCCTATTTTGTACGAGGATTTCTAAATGCTTGGGCATTGAGCACTAAATCCCAACTGGGTTGGGATAGCTTGGAAATGTATGATTTGTGCAGGTGCCTGACACCAAAACAGCAAAGATATACCCTCGAAATTTTAATGCAATGCCCTCAAAGTCATCAATTGATCTTTTGCGAATTATCTCATGGGGTTAATCATTCTGATCTGGAATCAATCAATATACTTGCATGATGATGTCTACCTACATATGTACAGTGTTGTAAGAAAAGAAAAAATAATGTTACTTACACAAGGATCCCAGAATCAGCGATCCCATCCTTACCGAATGCCATTAGCTGAAAGTTCTAGTAGTATCCATGGATGCACATTAGTACATTACATACAGGTCAAAGAATGTGCTGACCCGAAGAGAATTGGGATGCATCTAGATAGCTTCGATGTGTTATACAAAGCAAATGTGTACGAGATATCGAGAGTGTTTTCACCTTTTCCTTTCTTTGTCAAAATGCATCCATTGCGAACAGATACCGAAGACTGATCTATGACATACAGACATGTATGTACTAGTTATAACTAACTATAGCCGAAGGTTCCTCTACCTCAGCCCAAAATTTGGCCTATGATGAAGATCGACGTCAGGATTGAGAAATCATTAGTTAAATCATTAGTTAGTAATGAAATTATTATTTTTTTTTCACTCTTTACATCTCTAAAGATATTCAAGATGAATCGACATTCCCCAAAGCACCTTTCCACCGAGACGCCAATGGCCGAAGATACCTCCCCAAATAGTATACTTTATCTTCATAACCCTTCGGACCACAGACGCGGTTTGCTTTGCGCTGAGTTGTAAGTTCACGCTTGCCTTTTACCTTTGGCTTCTTGAGAGACGTGGAAGGACTATGCCTGTGACACCCCAGCCGATGTTCATAGGCGTGAAAAACTTCCCATGGATTAGAATATGCCTACTTCGCCGACTCCAAAATTCCCGCTGGAAATTTTGCGCTCAATGCTGGACGCTTCATCCACGCTCCATTTGGAATATACAACCTTTCTGGAGGCTGGACCATAAGGTGTGCTCTTATGGCTGTAACACACTTGGCAGTCGGAAGTGCTACTTGCCGTACGCTGGTGAAGTTGATATGTGTCCTTGTAGCATTCTCAATATACACCACAAGCTACAATTGATCTCTCTATGCTATCATCAGCCCCTCGATTCTAAAGGCGGTGTTCAACTCGATTCTAAAGGTGGTGCTCAACACCTGACAAATCGCAGCTGCAAATGCATTGAGATGTTACAACACACATGTACCTTCAACGCAAATCCCATTGCACAGGTTCAAATCAACGTCTCGTTCTCATTCGGCTGCCAAGACCAGAGCCTACGCATGCGTACTCGTATGCTATTCGATTTCACAAATTCGACCCCTTCGCAGCTGGAAGACTTCTGGAACAAGCGGCGTCATATATGTGTGCGTGGAAACACTGGAAAGTGGGTTGACGAGTTTTTCCGTGAAGCCGGGTATCTTTTCGGCGGAGAACAGGATTGGAAGCCCTGTCAATGGTTTAGTTGGGATGTGAGTGACGAAGGACCACTGGAGATTACCGTGAACCGCAATCTGGGGAAGCGTGAATGGCCGAGCAAGAGCTGGATTCGGAACTGCCGCAAATATCCTAAGTAGTATTTGGTGCTTTCCTTTTTTCATTATGACCTATGGCTTCAAAATAAATGGACAATCAACCGTTTTTATAGTAATGTTGTGTTACATTATATACATCTGAGCTCATGTTGGCTTCACCCGAAGGTTACTAGTCACCGACCCTGCGGAGAAGGGTGAGCTCGTCGTCGGTGCTATCTACTAAGAATAAGTAAGGATAAGCTAAGGATAGACTAAGAATATTATGAAGACCAGTTAAAGAACCTCTACCTTTCCCTCTAAGTCCGAGCAACCTGCCCCCTTACCTCCAACCCCCACTCATCCACATCCTGGCCAAAGTCCATCTCTACATCACCCAGCCCCGGACCACGACGACCAACCTCCCCATCCCCAATATCCCCACCACCTCTCTTTTTTCTCTGCCTCCGCCATATTCAATTTCTTCCCCACCTTGCGACCCATGCCGTCCAAGGTAAGACCGCCGATCTATTGCCCAGGTCAGGTAGCTTCCATAATTGTAGTTACTCGGGAGATGTCAACATAGGTTTTTAAGGAAAGTGCAACCTGGTCCTGCTAAGAGTAACTAGAAAGTCTGGAACCACCCTAGGATGTCAGGAAGGGGACAATGAATACAGAGATGGGACTCGAACCACGAGGTCCTTGAACTTATCTAAGATTTTTTCGATGGCAGACATCTTGAGGCTGCTATAAATTTTTATAGACTTCAAGAGAAAAGACTATACTAGGGTTATCTATACAGAGGTCTTCTCCAGGGCTACCTTAGCATATATATGTCAGATTACAAGTGTTTCACCGACCTTGTCCAATACTGTTGTTGGCCGCATGCATAGCTGTACAAAGTTGTGCAGATATCAGTTTATAGTTTTGGCTGAAGACGATCTATAATTCTACCATAGTCAAGGAAGTTGCGTGTACCTATATAAACTACAAACCAGCCAGATAAAGTACCCGCGCCCTAACTATGTCCAGGTTGTTCCTAAAAAAAAAACATTGGAATACATGCAAGGTGAAACTCGTCTATATAATTAAGACATTTCAAGGAAAGACAACAAGATGAAGTGCGCATTTGTGACAATATAGGTCAATCTTTTCCAAAAATGTCACCTACCTACATACCTTCTTTAGCTAGATACATAGACACAGACTTTCAGTCGTCATAGCGCAAATCTGGTGTTACCTGACTTGGAGAGTTTTGACTCAGAAGGCGATCACTCGGCAATATATCCAAAATACATGTACTCGATTTTCCTGGTAACATTGCTATGTACAACCTAGGGTAGGCAAAATACTCTCATCTAATGCAAAATACCCACACCTGGGCATCTACCTCAACTCCTCCCACTGCACACCAGCCCATTCCTCCCGCCACCCAGTGACGCCCAACTCCTGCGGCGTACAGTTCTTACCACAAACCCCCATGATGATAGTGCCCCACTCCATGCCCGCATCATCCTTCCCAAGCCCAACACCAGGACGCCCCTCCTCAAGCATACTAATAGCATGCGGCACAAGCTGGAACTCGAACACACGGTGACTTCCACAGTACTCACAAGCCGGGATACTCCCCGCACCGACTGTGGTGACCTTGGCGCCAGGGGAATTGTGAGCATGTAGCCGGGCACCGACCTCATCACCAGTCGAGTACAGCAGCGGCGCACCGCGGAACTCATACCGCAGCACCTGCTCCGGGTTGTGCTCGATGCGCATCGAGAACTTCATAAAGTCCTTGTCGAGCTCGGACTCGAAAGTGTCCTTGAGCTCGGCGCCGCCAGCGCCTTCTTCCTCCATTGGTTCGATCTGCACATTATCTGGCACTGTGGGTGAAGAAGGCCGCGAGAGAGTCTCGTATTCTGCGTCTAGGTAGAAATTTTTGTACGGCGCAGGGAATGCAGACTGTGCGGGCCACGGCACCGGTGTGCTTGATTCCGGTGTTTTCTTTGTCGCGGCTGAGGGGGGCGGCGAGGAGATGCGCACTTTGTCGGCGAAAGATGAGGCCAGGGTGCTTGCAGACACGGCGGGCTTCTCGGCTGTAGGTGCTGTTGCCTGGACCGGTGTTGCGAAGGGGTTGCTTCCTGCGGGGGTTGGGCCCGAAGCGGATGAGAAGGGGTTCTGGTTCGAGGAGATGTTGCTTGTCAAGTTTGTTGCGCCGAACAGGCTCGCTCCTAGATCCTGCTTGGGTTGTTCTGGTGCGACGGGCTGGGTTTCCTCTGTTTTCGCTTCAACCTGCCGGGTTTGTCCACCGACAGCGACCTTGCGCGCTGCGCGGAATGCTCTGATACTGCCTGGCTTGCGGTTGCAGGGTTTTCTGGGGCAGCCAAATAGGTATAGGCGTCGTTCGTCGGTCGGGAAGTGATCGGGCAGGTCGCCGTGCAATTCGAGGAGGAGCAGCATTGGACTGTTGCAGACTTTGCAATTGGCAAAATCGCCAGGTGCTGGGGAGGCTTCATCGAGCCATTTCTGAACCAAAAAAAATGCGATTGTTAGTTGGAGCTGGTTCTAGAGAGTGGTCCCTCGCGGTGGTAGAACATACTGGCAAGCCTCCAAGATGGCTGATTACATCCTCAATGACATCCTCAGCGGCATAGCCTAGAAGAACACCGGTATCGGTGAAATCCTCATCGACACTGGAGTCACTGTCATAGGGATCCATTTTGAATTAATTCGGAGTTAAGTGAATCAAATCTGTGATGCCCCTCAAAAAGATAAGCGATATGGAAATGCACCAGTCCTAAAATAGACTAGCGTATTATGGATACCGACTACCAAGTTACACTCCTGGCATCACCTCCTTGATACTTCAACGTCTGATGATATCTGATCGATATCTCTGGCTGATCAGGACTTGCTGTTCAACTACAAATTAGCTTTGCCATCTTCTAGTCCTACCATAATCATGCCGGCGTCTATGCCACGGCATGTCGCTCTCTTTCTATACTCCATCTTAGCCCTCTTACTCGTCTCGTTTGGTAATGCATCAGAACAAGAGCCACTGCAAGGAGCCTCTAGTGCAGCCCCCAAGCGGGTGGCTATAATTGGTATGCAATTCGCAAGAACATAGTTTTATCCAGGGCTGATAACCCTCATAGGGGCCGGAGCCGGAGGCTCGTTTGCTGCGTATCAACTGCGCAAGCTCGCAGATGAAGCCAACATCCCTGTCGATATCACAGTCTACGAGCGTGAATCATATGTGGGCGGCCGCTCAACAACAGTCAATGTATTCGATAACCCAGCGTACCCCATTGAACTGGGCGCTTCCATCTTTGTCCAGATCAATTATAACCTGGTCAACGCTTCCCGTGACCTCGGTCTGACGGTCAGTAGTGCTGACCATGCACGGCCTAGGGAGACTGAGGAGAGTATTGGGATCTGGGATGGAAACCAGTTTGTTTTCACGTTGAAGAATTCGTATAGCTGGTGGAATATCGGCCGGCTCTTCTGGCGGTATGGACTGGCGCCGCTGCGTACTCAGAACCTGGTGAAGAGTGTCGTTGGCAGGTTTCTCCGCCTTTATGAAGAGCCCTTATTCCCTTTCAGCTCTCTTACCGAGGCGGCTGTTGCGGCTGACTTGATAAATGCTACTGTGTCTTCTGGCGATGTGTTTCTCCAGGCAAATAGCATCGATTCGCTATTTGCGAGGGAGATCATCCAAGCAAGTACTCGAGTGAATTATGGGCAGAACCTGCAGCTGATTCATGGCTTGGAATCTATCGTCTGTATGGCTACGGATGGAGCGGTTTCTGTCGAGGGCGGAAATTGGCGCATTTTCGATGGCGCGCTGGGAGCCTCGGGAGCGAATATCAAAGTGAATACCACGGCAACTGAGATTTCACGCAATGATGATGGGACTGTGCGGGTCTCCTCAAAGCTAAACACCGCTATCAACTCAGAGCATGAGGTATTCGACGAAGTTGTCATTGCCGGTCCTTTGCAGTACTCGGGTATCTCCGTCTTCCCTCCTTTGGAGCATACCCCAGATGAAATTCCATATGTCAATCTGCACGTTACACTCTTTGCATCCCCACACCGCATCTCACCGAAGTATTTTGGTCTGAAAGATTCAAATGCTCGAGCCCCTGAGACTATTCTAACCACTCTACCCGAGGGTTACCATCTGGGTTCGAACCCAGATGGTGTTGGGCCCAGCAGCTTCTGGAGTATTAGTACACTTCGAACAGTAGATCATTCCGTGGAATCTGAAGACGATACACAGCAACATTACGTTTATAAAATCTTCTCGCCAGAGCGGCCTACGGCTGAATTCATTACCCAGATTCTGGGGCTGGAGAGTGAGACCGTGGGGAGCAATACGACCGGGAATATTGGAGACCTCTTGATAAGCGATATCAGCTGGTTCCATGAAAAGCTATGGAACCCATATCCTCTTTTATATCCGCGAGTGACCTTTGAGGAGACTCTTCTGGCTCCGGGTGTGTGGTACACAGGTGGCATCGAGAGCTTTATTTCGACGATGGAGACTAGTGCGCTGATGGGTAGGAACGTGGCAACTCTCATGTTCCAGTCATGGCAGAAGCAAGCAGATCAGACAGACAGCGATGGCTCGTCTGGGGACAGGGAGCTCTAAGCCTGCTTATGTCTTGGCTTGGCTTGCCAGCCTCCTTTTGTCAAACAAATCAAGCATTATGCATAGAAAGTCCAAGAAAGCTATTTAAAGCACGCTCAAGGAAGCTAAGAGGATGAAAAGCAAAAGGAAGATCATGTGTATATTGACAAAATTCTATTCATTGATTCATAATCAAACATTTATGTACGGGAAACTTTATCTAGGACTTGACCAGTAGGTTGGCTCCGGTCATCTCTTCGGGCTGCTCGACGCCCATGGCTGCGAGAACGGTAGGCGCAACATCACCCAAAACACCGCCCTTCTTGAGGCTCCAGCCCTCAGGGGCGTTAGCCATAACGAAGGGAACCTTGTTAAGGGTGTGGGAGGTCTTGGGGGTGCCCTTCTCGTTGAGCATCTCCTCGGCGTTTCTGCGGATATGGGTTAACAAGCAATTCTCTTGATGGGAGGTGTTCCTGTTTCGCAGAATAACTTACCCGTGATCGGCGGTGATGAACAGAACGTAGTTGTTCTTCTTGCAAGCCTCATAGATCTCGCCGATGGCCTTGTCAGTGGCAGCAACACCCTGGATGGCGGCCTCGTACACGCCAGTGTGGCCAACCATATCGGGAGGAGCGAAGTTGTTCATGACAAAGTCAAACTTGTTCTCGCCAAGGCGCTCAGCCATCTTGGTACCGACAGCAGCTGCACTCATCTTTGGGTCAAGATCGTAGGTAGCAACTCGGGGTGAAGGGATCATATCGCGCACTTCACCGGGGAAGTCCTTCTCGATACCACCGTTGAAGAAGAAAGTGACGTGAGCATACTTCTCAGTCTCAGCAATGTGGCACTGCTCGAGGTTCTTCTTGGCGAGCCATTCGGCCAGCACGTTACCCATGTGCTGCGGGGGGAAAGCAACATTGAAGTTGTAGTCAGTCTTGTACTGGGTCATGGTGGTAAGGTTGATGTTCTTGGGGTAGGGGAAGTCGGGACGCGGGGAACGGTCATGGTCGCCCAGCAGCTGGGTGATTTCACGGACACGATCCGAGCGGTAATTGAAGAAGAAGAGGGTATCGTCATCTATATAGGCTCAATTAGTTGTCATTACATTGCCTTTTGGGCTCGGAACACACATACCCTGGATACGGCGCTCCTTGCCGCCAACAATGATGGGCTTCAGGAACTCATCGTTCTCATTCTTCTCGTAGCGCTCCCTGATGGTCTGTAGCGGGTCCGAGCTGTCCTCACCCTCGCCAGTGACCAGACCCTTGAGGCCAATCTCAACACGCTCCCAGCGCTTGTCGCGGTCCATGATGTAGTAGCGGCCCACGACAGTAGCAATCGCGCCAATACCGATCTCCTGGGTCTTCTCAAGCACCTCCTGCATGAACTTGTCGGCGCTCTTGGGGTCGGTATCACGTCCATCGGCGAAGAAGTGGATGAAGACCTCGGGAATCTGCATGTCCTTGGCGGCCTCGAGCAAGGCGAACAAGTGAGTGATGTTGGAGTGAACACCACCGTCCGAGACCAAGCCCAGAAGGTGCAGACGTCCATTGCCCTCCTTTGCACGGGTGAAAGATTTGACAATGCTGGGCACCTTGCCCATCTCACCCTTCTTGAGGGTCTGGTCAATGCGAACACTGTCCTGCCAGACAACACGGCCAGCACCAATGTTCAGGTGACCGACTTCACTGTTGCCCATCAGACCTTCGGGCAGACCAACAGCAAGTGAGGAGGCATCCAACTCGGCGAAGCCCTGGGCGGTCTTGGAGTTGGGCTCGGCGAAGCCGGACATGTATGGGGTATCGGCCGCGGCGATGGCATCTCCCTGGGGTGGGGAGTTGGGGCCTGCAATACCCCAGCCATCAATCACAACTATAAGGCTTATATTAGCCGGCATATCTTTTGAGGACCTGGGTGGCAGTCGACCATACTCAAAGCGACTTTTTGGTCAGCCATAGTGGGGTTTGTGATGGTGATTGAACCACAACCTAGAATTATTCCAATACTGATCAATTGCTGAACCAAGAGAAATTTAAGAACAAACCGACAAAGCTGCTTACCTTTAGACAGATGTTTAGAGGAGAAGAGATCGAACGAAGGAGAATCAGACCACCAACGCAAGAAAAAAAGGCCGCCGGTGAAGGAGGGGCATGGGCCCCGACGTCACTGTCACCGGGTGCCAGGAGCGTATATGCTGAGATAAGCATGTGTTGTGGCCCTGGGGCCGAATCTACGGGGGTGTCTTCCGACTCTTCCCTAAAAACTTACCCCAGCCGGGATCTACTCGTCCTTCAAATATCTTTCCTCGGTATTCTTTTAGTCAACATTCCCGACAATGGCTTCTCGATCCCCGCCAGTGGGCACCCCACTGCTGAAATCCCCTGCGCCCGAGACGCCCTTTAAAGACGCGCCAACACCAGCACCGCAAACAGTACCTTTCCCTTCACCACAGACCTTCGAGATAATCCCACCATTGCATGGGATTCTTTCTCGCTTGCTCTCCTCCAAAGGTCAGCAAACCGGTTCATCGGACGCACCCGGGGATATAACAGGGGTCTCAGGAGCTTCCCAGGCACAGACCCAACAAGCACCCTCAAGCATCCCTAATGGTGGACACAATGGCAACACTACATCTTCACATGCTGTACCAGAAGTATCAGTCCTCGGTTCAAGCGCTCATCCGCCGCTCGATGTGAAAAACCTCCCTACCGAAACCAGCTCTGTCAGGATTCGAATCCAGAAGGCTCGTACAGTCGTCGAAGGGCTACCAGATGTGCATCGGTCTGTCAATGACCAACAAACAGAGATTGCAGAGCTGGAGGATCGTGTGAGACGTTTGCGCTCTGTCATCTCTGACTTTGGGAATCGAGCAGGAATGCTACATGAGGATAATACGAGGACCGTGGAAGCATGAAGCTTGAAACCTTCTGGGGTTTCGGTTGACAATGGGAATTCTCAAGTCAGCCAGATGCTGCAGGAATTTCAAATTGATTTATTTGGCGTTTATAAGAAGGAAATACCCTGGTGTTTTTAGCGATCATTTCAAGATAGTAGAGGCGTCATCATTTCATGAGCTGTGGCAAATCTAGCAATTCATACTCTATTTCCTCTTCTCTCTTTTCCCTCGAAGAATGTCCAAAGGAAATACATAGCCAATTCATCATTGTTTTGAACCTCTAGCCAATCTAGTATAATTTTGCCCTACCGATTTACAAATTTTATAACCTAAAACCCTAATGCGGCCAGCTGTCTCCGATATCGTTCGGTGGGTTAAAGTTCAGCGCCTGAGGCAACGGAAGATCCCCTCCCCCACCACTTCTATTTAATTTTTCCCCTTCTCTTCACCTCCCCATCCTCCATATCACAATTTTTCTCTGTTTATCCCAGACAGATTACCATTCTTCATCATGACTTACGCTCTTTCCGAGTCCCACCGGGACGTGAGTATCACATCTGCCCTCTTTTCTAGCATCTAGATCATTGACTCATCGATTACAGCAAATGCACAACTCCCTCGTGTCCAGCGACCCGGAGATTGCGTCCATCATGGTACGTCGAAACTATACAGCATTGGGACTTGCAGTTTAATGCATTGTCCACACCAGAAAATCCAGCTGTGCTAATTCTTCTACTCGTACAGGAGAAGGAAATCCAGCGTCAGCGTGAGTCAATCGTCCTGATTGCCTCTGAGAACTTCACTTCTCGTGCTGTCTTCGATGCTCTTGGTTCGCCCATGTGCAACAAGTACTCCGAGGGTTACCCCGGTGCTCGTTACTACGGTGGCAACCAGCACATCGACGCCATTGAGATCACCTGCCAGCAGCGTGCTCTCAAGGCCTTCAACCTCGACCCCGCCAAGTGGGGCGTCAACGTCCAATGCCTTTCCGGTAGCCCCGCCAACCTCCAGGTCTACCAGGCTCTCATGCGTCCCCACGACCGCTTGATGGGCTTGGATCTCCCCCACGGTGGTCACTTGAGCCACGGCTACCAGACTCCCTCCCGGAAGATCTCTGCCGTTTCCACCTACTTCGAGACCTTCCCTTACCGTGTCAACCTTGAGACCGGTATCATCGACTATGACACTCTCGAGCGTAATGCCGAGATGTACCGCCCCAAGTGTCTGGTCGCCGGTACCTCCGCCTACTGCCGTCTGATTGACTACAAGCGCATGCGCGAGATTGCCGATAAGGTTGGCGCCTACCTCATCGTCGACATGGCTCACATCTCTGGCCTGATCGCTGCTGGTGTCATTCCCTCTCCCTTCGAGTACGCCGACGTTGTGACCACCACCACTCACAAGTCTCTCCGTGGCCCCCGTGGTGCCATGATCTTCTTCCGCAAGGGTGTCCGCAGCACCGATAAGACCGGCAAGGATGTCCTCTACGACCTGGAGAACCCTATCAACTTCTCCGTCTTCCCTGGCCACCAGGGTGGTCCCCACAACCACACCATCACTGCTCTGGCTGTTGCCCTCAAGCAGGTTGACACCCCTGAGTTCAAGCAGTATCAGGAGCAGGTCATCAAGAACGCCAAGGCTCTCGAGGAGGAGTTCAAGGTTCTTGGTCACAAGCTCGTGTCGGACGGCACTGACAGCCACATGGTTCTCGTCGACCTCCGCGCCAACAGCCTTGATGGTGCCCGTGTTGAGGCCGTCCTGGAGCAGATCAACATTGCCTGCAACAAGAACTCCATCCCCGGTGACAAGTCTGCCCTCACTCCTTGCGGTATCCGCATTGGTGCCCCCGCCATGTCTTCCCGTGGTATGGGTGAGGAGGACTTCAAGCGCATTGCCCGCTACATTGATCAGTCCATCGCCCTCTGCAAGAAGATCCAGGGTGAGCTTCCCAAGGAGGCCAACAAGCTCAAGGACTTCAAGGCCAAGGTTGCCGATGAGAGTGTTCCTGAGATCCTTGCTCTCCGCAAGGAGATTGCTCAGTGGGCCAGCGCCTTCCCTCTTCCCGTTTAAATGGGACATTTGAGGACCGAGTATGAGTTACGGAAAAATCAAGAGGGATCTGAATCAAGATCCCACGAGTTCAACATCATTTCGTATAAAAGAAAAATACATGGGTGCGTTTTTAGGGGTTAATTACCGGACTGCTTTTTCAACCTGACGCGGGTCATTGGGATATGGGAATGCTTTTTTGCATATGAAACGAGTAATGTTATTTTTGGCGGTTGGGCCTCGCACTTATTCAACAGCGGGCTCACATGAATTTCTGAAGGGGAAAAGTTCAACATTAATTGGGCGTCCTATGTACATTCTACAATCTGTTCTCAACACAAGGATCTATAGAATCCAAGGACTATTTTCTTCTCATCCGCTTTATCTTCATAGGTAATACGGTTCTTTCTGGTGTAGTTTTTGCCTGTGCATTCTGGTCTGTTTTATCCATGATCAAGAGTGTTGAGCTTTGAGGTGACTAAATGTGATGGACACCCGTAACCCGTAGTATACTGCACAAGAATAGTCGGCCGCTTATGCGGCCTATGTCCTTGATAACGTAAGACTTTAATTGTCTGATTTATTTGAAGATGATATAGGGATGTTATATGTAAGAACCCCCCCCCCATGTGTTTTTTGGACGTTCTTTTCATAAGTCTTTTTTGATGTCTTTTTTGATATTTGCTTAGGCGTATACGAAGGCGATAAAATGCATACTTTGTGCAGATGACTTTTCTACGTATGTCCACGGGTATAACCTTTGATGTGGAATCCGAACTGGCGCACTGGTGGTACTAGACTGCCGTAGACGTCCACGTGAGCTATATGGATAACTCCAACCTTGGAAGACTACACTCTCTCTCTCTCTCTCTCTCTCTCTCTCTCTCTCTCTCTTTTTGTCTCCATCCTGATTTGTTTCTGCTTTTTGCTTTTATGTCTCTTGCCCTTTAATATCCGTCACTGCACTGCCTGATACTCTCCTACGGCCTGCCTCTAAATTTAGGCCCCTCGTTGGAGTTCCAGGCCCCATCGATAAGGACGCAGTGTCTTATCGCCCCGGACTCTCACGGAGGGGGGCATATTCTTACACCAATCTGTGTTTGATTGAAGAAACCGAACCAGTGTAGTGCATCTTGAAGAAGTCGCTGGTGAACCAAGAGAAAAAAGAACCTTGCCCGACATGGCGAATACCGCTCAGTGCTACTATTGCTTTGAGTCTCTCCTTGCTTCATTCGAGGATCGCGAGCCCGCCACTCTGACAGCCGTAGAGGCCCTATGGGAACAACACGAGCAAACTAAGAAGTTGTCGAGTCTTGAAGACCAAATTGAAGAGGAAGATACACACCGACAGCAGTCCGTAAATGAACAGGACGAAGATGACGACAGCAACCAATCGTCCCTGTCGAGTAGTCAGCCCAAGAAGCTGCAACTCCGCAGCATCAGTCGCCTTCAGAGCCAATTCTCCGCCTCTTCCAGCGCAGCCACATCTTCATCGTCTGCATCCAATACTTCTTCCAACTCGCTACAGTCGAGCTCAACCAATATCACCACGCCAGGTGCGGTTTCCAACACCCCCCAGCTGAGATCGCCTGATCAGCGATATCCCCTGTTCGTTACATGGAACACCCTGTCACGAACCGGACACAAGTCTCTACGCGGGTGCATAGGCACATTCGAGGGGCAGGAACTTGCAGCGGGGTTGAAGTCCTACGCTTTGACCTCGTACGTGGTTCCCATTCCCATTTCATACCCCTCTCTCGCTACAAAGGTAAATTCCTATCTATATACCAGACTGACTCACATGTGATCTTGTTTTAGTGCCTTCGATGACACACGTTTTGAACCCATTCCCAAATCTCTTCTCCCCTCCCTATCATGCTCTCTCACCCTCCTTGGGTCCTTTGAGCCGTGTACAAATGCCATGGATTGGTCTCTGGACACTCACGGGCTGCGGATCTCCTTCATCCATCGCAGCCGGCGCTATGGCGCCACTTATCTCCCTGACGTCGCTGTCGAGCAGGGCTGGACCAAAGAAGAGACCGTGGAGAGCTTGATGCGCAAGGCAGGCTGGGATGGTGGTGGTGGCAGTACTGCAAGGAGACTGCTACGCGGTGCAGCTGGTGGGAACTCCAGCGCTACTAAGCCTTGGGACCAGGTCTCGGATTTCCGTACCGTCAGGTACCAGGGCCTCAAGGCAAGCGCTAGTTATGCGGAGTGGCAGGAATGGCGGGAGTGGGTACTCTCTCTAGATGACGGGGAGAAGATCCTGGAAGGCGCGGATTGATTGGCTTTTATTTTTAGATCGCTTTGCTTTTCGTCCCACATCTCAACGCTTCGAGTGGGACTGATGATTATGATGACCATGATGATACTGCTTTTTTTTGCGAGTTTTCGGTTCACAACTTTTCGACATGGGCATTAATAAGGGATGGCAAGGGCCCCGGGGTCCGGGGGTCCACAGTCATGATGAGGATTTGATATGGCATCCCAGGTCTATAAAGATAATGAACAAGCATTTCAAACTGAGACTCATCTGAGAATTATTGATTATAAACACTGGCATCATTTATTGTATTCGATAATGGGGTGATATGCAGAGACATTGAAAAGGACCCAAGTAAAGCAAAAGTCCCAGACCAGAGAAGAGCAAGCCAGTGATTCTTCCAAATCCAATACGAACATCCCACGGACGAAACACGGCATAGACAAAAAGCTAACGATACATTCATATCCACGCATCCTAACGCGGAGTACGGCTCCACAAACCAGCAACCATTTCCTTGACTCTCCGCTCCTGGGCCCGGATCTGCTCCTCAGTCTGCCCACGCGCATTACCACGACTATCGATCTGCATCTGAGCCCCGCCAGCATTTACCGGCGCAGACGGAGGAGCATGATTCTTCTCCTCGATGATTTCATCGCCATTAACACGCTCAGGCTTAGGATCAACGCTCATAACGCCGTCCATCATGAAGCCGCCGCCCTCGCGGAGCTTGTTGATAGCCCGCACGGTGTCGATAGCACGGTGCAGCGTGCGGCGCGCATTGAAGTTCTTCTTGACCGTTGGCAACAGATCTTCGCCCGAGCCAACCTTCCCGCTGTCGTAGGCCAGGTTGACCCATGGGTGCTGGAGAGCTGCGTGGGCTGTCATCCGTGACTGCGGGTTGACTGTCAGACAGCTGTTGATGAAGTCGCGTGCTTCCTGTGATACACCACGCCAGTACTCGAGCGGCGTAAAGGAGTAGTCTGCTGCTAGGATTGCTTGCATCTCTTCGAGATTGGAGTCCCGGTCGAAGGGCGTGTATCCGCATAGCAGGAAGTAGGTGATTACGCCGATGGCCCAAATATCGCTGGAAGCGGATAGTTGTTAGTAAAAGATAAAATAATTGTAATGAGATGAGCTTACACTGGCTTGCCATGGCCGCTCTTTTTGAAGATCTCTGGTGCCATATATCCTGGCGTTCCGCAGGTTGTGGTCAGGACGTGGAACTGCTCCTCGTCCATGATCCTCGACAATCCGAAATCAGCAATCAATAGATCGGCGTTGTCTTCTGGTGTGCGGAAAAGCAGGTTCTCCGGCTTCAGATCACGGTGCACGATCCCGTGGTCATGCAGATAGGCGACGGCGGAGAGCACTGCGCGGATAAGGTCTGCAGCATCCGACTCATAGTAGCTGCCTTTACGACAGATGCGGTCAAAGAGTTCTCCGCCCAGCGCGAGATCGGTGACAAGATATACTAGAGAGCATCACTTGTTAGCGGGGGCGCGATTGGCGCTATCGTGCAGGAGCGAAACACACAGTTGTTCATAGTCTCAAAATAGTCGACCAGCGTGAGGATGTTCTGGTGGCCCAGCGACACCTTCTTCAATACCGCGATCTCATTCCGGACCTGTGTATTTTCGGAAGACGTCAGTCATGCTTTTATCTCCACGGTTGTAGTTTCCCCGGCACACACCATATGCTCCCGCCCGGACATGAGACGCTTGTTGATGACCTTTGCCGCATAATAGCGACCGGTATCGATATGCACACATTCCTTCACAACAGAGTACGAGCCAGCGCCAAGTGTCTTTCCGGTCTTGTATCGGCACGGCTGGACCTTCGGCTTCTGGCTCGGAGGTTGCGCCGCCATTGCGAATAAAACCAAGTGCGGGATGCGCGACTTGTGGGAGGATGGGGAAGTTGTGCAACGCAAAGCGCGAGAGAGTGAAGGACTGAGCGCAGTGCTAGAGGGGTTCGACTTGAGGATTGCGATATATATACACCTGTCCCTATGTACCTGCGCAATCCAAAGTCAGCATTGCCGTAAAGTGGCACAGGAGTCTAGCGCAAAGGCCCAAGGTGAGACTGCGCAGAGAATACTTACAGTTGGGCGACAAGGGCTGATAACACCTGGGCTTATGGTATTCCCAACGGTTTTATCGTGATGTTTTCCGAGGGACTGCGGGGGTTTGAAGTCGAAGATCCTGGGGAATCGTTGGCGGGGCTAATTGGAGAGGGCTGAAACGCTGAAACCTCAGATGAAACTATTAAACAAGTTAACTCCAACAGCGTTGGCAGTTGGAATAGAAAATTTGAAAAAAAAAAAAAGCAAGGAAGTTGAATTATAAAGGCCGAGATAAAAAGATCAACGGCGCGATTATTGGAGAGGCATTTCTGCCCAGTTGGCTACATATGTATTTACATTTGCCCGACTCAACACCAGCCCAATGCAGAAACAAAAACAGGGGCAAATCAAAATCAAAATCAAGGGAAAATAGTACATTCAAAATCGCTCCAGCACTTCCTCGACAACGTGCTCCAATAGCTGTAGCTTGTGGAATTTAGCCACGCTCTCCAACACTTGTAGTTTCTTCTCGATCTCCTTTCGATCAACTGTCGCAGTCCATGTACCACTGCAAGAACAGTGCTCCATGAAATCACTGATCTTAAGACCACTGCACTTGGAGCACTTGATATCCTGCGTCTGCCATTCAACAACAAACCCGTGGACTTGACCAATGAGGAATTCTTCAGTCGCCAACCGGTCATACTCGGCGTGACAGAAGGGGCATCGCCAGGGCTGGGTAGATTTGCTGGCATCTGAGCTGGCATCAGGCAGTACATCTTCGTCGCGACAGAGATCGAGATCTCGAATAAGACAGCAGGAGTTGCAAGACATTTCCGGCAGCTTCAAGCTAGCACTGGGGTTCTCGAATCGGCCCTCCTTGCTGAATTCTCGGACTTCGAAAAGGGCAAGAAGCTCGCGCCGCAGCAACCGGGATTCTAGGGTTGTTGTCTTAGACAAACTCAGAACCTGCATCAGCAGTTTCGTCAACTCCAAAGATGGGTTTCGTTTGTCCTTGGGACCGACAAGGACTCCCGGCAAAACGGGGAAGGCATAGTCGGATGCAAGCTCAGGATGAAGCATCTCGTCGCGTTGTCTGCGGATCAATCCCGAGATTTGCTTCTTCAATGGCTTTGAGAATCGATCGGAGAGAATAGCAGTGATCTCATCATCGTCTCCTTCGTTGGTCCGTCCAATAGGAATCTGTGTTGGTCGAGGCGTTGAAGACAGATCCCCGTCCTGAAGTTCCGGCCGTTTCAAGCCGTGCATCAGCTCAATGTACTCGACAATCCAGTCATGGAAGATAGTCTGCATGGGCATTGGCAGGAACCGGCTGAGCTGCCAGTGCATCGCTGTTTCGAGATCCTGTTCCTCGGCTTCGGTGACTTCCCGGCAGCCCTTGCCTCCGTAGTTGTATTCATCGTACCAAACGAGATAGTCCCAGTATTCTTTGATCTCGAGATCGATAAAGTGGAATGAAGGGTTGGCGCGAATTGACTTGAGGACATACTGACTGTAGGCGTAGGCGTTGCCAACCTCGGTTTTGGTTGTTTGGAGAAGGAGGCGTGTAGGGCTGGCAAAGATGACATGCGATCCAACACGTCTGAACTCTGCCATCAATCTCTGGAATGACTTCCGTGACAGTAATCGCACGTAGTTGTGTAGAGACCGGTCATAGAGACAGGACACAGGGCTTTCCACCCACCGGATCAGATGCTGGACCATGATATCAGCCATGTTGTTCCCTGCACAGGCCTCTGTCCACCAGTGTTTTACCATCTCCCGGAGAACGACAACACCGGCAGAGGCAAATGCCTTCTCTGAATAGAAAACACCAGTATCTTCACCGTCCCCAGAAGGAGCCAGTAGCGTATCACTGCCGTCCATTTCATTGATGATAGAAGATGTCAGGATTGTGTTGATCGACAGATTGCGAACCTCGAGTTCAATGCACACTGTGGAGTAAGCACCTGGTACATTGACAGATGGCATGTTGACCTTGTCCAATGCACCTAGGATGTCATCCCTTTCATAGCCCGCGTGATCAGGACGCGGGCCGGATGACCACCAGAGCACAACATTGTTTTGCTGAAGCCGTCTGGCGTACGAGATATCGATGAGGTATCGAGGATCCTCACTTTCCAGGTTGCAAAGCGGAACATCACCGAACCGAGCGAGCATGGTCAAGTGCTGAATCCAAGAAGACAAGTATAGATAGCGCGTGACTAGACGTCTCGCAATGAAAGCCTGCCAGCCCAGTGGGGGAAGTTCCATGTCCGATGCTTCGGGCTTCACGGATAACACTGGGTACTCCTTCAAGATGGGAATGTCGTGACACAGGCGGTCTTTTTGTTGGGATTGAATGACAAGGACAGCAGGCTGACTCTCATCATTTCGAATCTTTCTGATCAGATCACCAACCTCAAGATGAGCCTTCCTCCGCGTCATCACTTGGGTAGTTTTGAAATGGATCTTGTCCTGGTAGTCGAACGCATGCTGCGACTCATCGCCCGATGCGGCTTGCATCTTACGTGTGAGAAGCTCGGTGTAGATTTTATCGACGTTGGGAAGGCCCTGAACATCTCTTGTGCGGTTGAGAACGATAATATGCGCCTCATTCTTGGATGTCGAGAATATTGCGAAGACTTGTCTATCTCCAGAGACAATGTGATATAGGTAGTGGAACACCAATGACGAGTCCATCAGATAGGGCTGCTCGGAGGATGTATGAAGTAATGTTGAAAGGTCAAAGCCCTTGTCCAAGCCGTCACCTAGGACACCACGCTGTTGTTCATCGAAGGTACAATGGCTTCCTAGCTTGAGCACCGCTCGAGTGCTTAGCGGGATGTTTCCCTCGTAAACGCCCTCGACACTAGGGTGCTGGAAGAGAATATCCATCTTGTCGGCTTCTTCTAGATATTTCTCTTCTGACAAAGACAGCTTGAATAAATAAACCGAGGGATGTCCGTTAGGTAAGGTGTGGTTGACCTTCTCGACTTCACAGTCTGGCACGTCAATATCCGGCAAAGAGTCCCGTTTCAAGTTCAGGAAAAATTGCCGTGGAACTCTAACGCTGAGGGCGTGGATCTTTTGGTCAATCAGTACAAAGGCTCGCACAACTCCAGGAACGCCCGTATCGCAAAGCTGCAGGACCTGCCATGTGCTGATGTACAGCATTTGAGCTTGATTGCGGAAGAAGTTACTCAAGGAATCCGAGGCAATGTTGGTTCGTTCGCCAAACAGCTGACGACGGCGAAGCCGTGCTTGTTTTTGGATCTTCCATTTTTGCTTCTGATACTTGAGGAATTCTTCGTAATTTTCCGACATCGATGGCATAACTGCTGGTAGGCTAGCGAAGGGGTCAAGAGCTGTCTTCGAAGCATTTTCCGGATGCTTTCTCTTCTGGGAGACCTTGTTGTTAGGTGATTTCGATTTTTGAGTCGAGCCCGCGATTGCTTCATCTAGATCACCAGCATGCTGAACACGATGGTCTAGGATATTGGCATTTGCTGACGAAAGTGGCGTCTTCTCGGACTTGGTGAACAGATCAGTCATCTTCTTTTGCTTGAACCTGTCATCCTTCGTGTTGATCCGACGTTGCAGCCAATCGGGGTGGGCAACTCGGGGCACTGGGTTTCGAAGCTTCTGAAGCGCAGCTGGAATGGTAATCAGCTTCTGGATCACGGATCCCAAACGCTCTAGGTAATAGTCCCAATCGATCACAGTTCGAGGATCCATATCGCCAGGATCTTCCTTAAGCCATTTGCGCAGGAAGAATCGCTTGATGTTCTCTTCGGCTGAAAATATAGCCACAGGAATGGCTCTTTCGGTGACAGGTGTATTCCGTGGGCGTGATGAGATGATGTATTTGCAGTTGAGGCCTTTGTCCTTGACCATCTGTTCACCCAAGAACTCTGCTAGCCGTTTTGCCGTCGTGATGGATGTGGACTTTTGGGAACCGTACTCTTCCAGGGTTTTTGACATGCTTCGATTTTCCGAAATGAGATCGATCAGCTCTTCGTCGGCCAATGTCGTTCCGTGTTCGTATAGAACGTCCAACCACCGGTCTGCAACTCGGGCCACAGCGGCGTAGGTCTCAGCAAGATTAGAGCCCTCTAGGAAGAATTTGAAGAGCTGCGTCTGGAAGATCTTAATCAACTTCAGCTCTCCTCTTCGCTTGACTTCGAATCCCTTGAGCTCAGCTAAAGAGCCATCGTGATTGAAGACTGCATATCGTTTCTTCAAGTTCTTGTCTTCCTCCTTCGACGTTGGCAAAATCATTGCCCGGTACGGTCCATCCACTTCGAAGAAGATGGAATTTTCACTATGAGTCTCGTACTTGAAAGTTTTCGGATCGACAAGCGCCTGGTACTGGTGGTTGGTGTATCTCGCATGGACGAGGTGGTTCAGCATGACACAAGGGTATGAGATACCCAGTTTTTTCCCGTTCTTCAAAGTGAAGGAGAAGTTATCAGGGAATCCTCCTGGAAGCATACACCAGATACCGTCAGTATCCAATTCCAGGGGACGACCGATACGTTCGACAAGCTCTCTCGCCATCTGAATGATGTGAGCGCCTGTCAGACAAGTGACACCGGCCATTTCCATAGAATACCACCGAGAACCCTTTCGCATGACATATCCGTAGAAACTGTTGAGAATGACCTTGTGTGCAAGCTGAAGAGAATCGTACAGAATAATCATCTTCTTCGCCTCCTCAATTTCAGCGGCTGAACCGCCCGACGACTGCAAACCATCGGCTTTGTTCTTCCAGGATTTTTGCTTGCCCTTGAAATCGTATCGTCGATCACGGAAGTCTCTGACAGTATCGACATAGAACGGATTTTCTCGTTGGCAAATGATGGCTTCACGCTCCATCGTCTTGCTGTCGTGAATCTTGTGATAAATTTTCTTGCTGTAATCCTGTAGTCGTTTCTTGACCACTCCGGCTTGCTCTTCAATGCTCAATTCACCGAATGACCTCATTGGGGAGTTTGGGTACCGGCCTGGGAAACGTTCATTTCCTGTGGCACGTCGGATCATGTTGTATTCATCACGTTTGGCAGGCAAGAATTCACCTCGCCATGCCCAAGGCATGCGTCTATCACAGGTTTTTCCAGGTCGGTTGAAGTCGCACGCGGCACAATTCGACTCATCAATCAACGAGTCTGGTTGCAATCGGTTGGTGATCATGATGTTGGGATACATGGAGGCGACGTCCAAATGATAAATGAAAGGCACCTCATTCCGGACTGGATTATTCTTGAGATCGAGCAAACGCTCCACAATTTGTGCCCTGACTTCATCATAGTTCACGACATCATCCATGGATTTCTTCTCTTCAACCTCAATACTGAACTTGAGGGCGTGATCCAGATCCTTGAGAAGCTCATCAATTGCGGTAGTATCGACGGTAAAATGCGTGGGGATATCACTTCGGAAGACCCCAGCTTCAATACTTTCAACGTGGCCACCAACGTAGGTCTCAGACTCGAGGAGATGGCCTTCGTAGAAAGCTTCTGGGGGATTCTTGTGTTTGTTGGGCAAGACAATCTCATGCTGGTAGGCTTGAACCATGAGAAGCATCTCACACAGAGTTCCAGTACCCTTCCGCAACGTTTCGTCGGCGTTAAGGGGAATGATCGTGCAGAGCGAGAAGATGAACGGGTGGACATATTTCATGTACAGGTAATAGGTTGCGACAGCATCGGAAACCGAGTATTCAGCAAGGGTTTGTGGCCTTTCACTCGCATACGGTGTCATAAGCTCTGGGTCGAGTTCATCCGGGTCGTAACCAAGCTTTGCAACAGTCACGGCTTTCAAACCACGACTTCCTTGAGGAAGGTAACTGTCACGGTTGACCCAGGCGAAACAATCCATATGCACACAGTTGTCGGCTTGGTAGATATCCTCGCTGTTTTTCCGGAAGCCGATCTCCATATACATATCAAGTCCCAGAATACTGGCTCTTGTCTCCACAAACGGCCAATCGAAGAAGTCACCGTTGTACGTCGCAATAACAGTAGGCTTGGAAATTTTGATATGCTCGAAAAATCGCTCAAGGACTCCTCTTTCATTGGGCTCATTGAAGATAATGAAAGGTCCATTGTACTCTGGTTTGGGAGTGTACTCGAAGTCGTGAATGTCCTCAGACACAATCTCTCTGTTGGTAATTAGGAACCCTTGCCCATCAATCATGTATGAAATCATCATAATCTGATCCATCGTGGCGTCGGGAAATTTCAGCGGTAACTTCGTACATTCGATATCAAAAGCGAGAACAACAGGATCGGCACGCTGAAGCCGATCTTCCAGGCAGGTCAGCGATACCACACCATGATCTGCCTCCACATTGTACCACTTTCCAATCCGAATGTCTGCGATGCGTCAGCTATAAGGCCTCACCGGGAGACACAGAAAATACCGACCTTTGTCAATGCAGACCCGGACATGGTATGGCACGTCGTATTCTCGAATATCAACAATAAAATCACTCGCTTGTAGGTTGCCATTAGGTCGTTGCTCATTAATTATTTCGTCGTCAAAAAGGTCGATACCAGCAGTCGCACTATAGAAACCATAAATTAGCCCAATGTTCAGATCAAATCATGTAATGCAGAACAAACCTGGTCATCTCAACGTATGCGTCCATCGCACTCTCATTTTTCTTGTTCTTCTCTGCGAGAGGAAGGAGGGTCCTCCTAACCTCTAAAAGGTTGCTCACGTTGGCGAAGCTGAGCTTGATATAGGTCTTCCGGTAGCCGAGAAGGTGGTTCGGGAGGTTGAGATCTTCTTTCTCAAGTCGCTTGAATTTTTTGATCATGCCCTCAAAGGTTCGGCGGCACCACTCTTCTACCTCCATTTCATACCCCTTTTTGACTGCAATCAAGAAATAAGGATCGTATTCCACGGTAGCTTTGAAACTTCCACCGTCGTCCTGCAGAAAGTAATAATCCACGCCGGCACGACCTCCAGGCACGTCCGAGTCCTCGATAGATGTGCTGTGCATGTTGACCAACCAGCCGGCCCTTGTCTCGCCAGACTCAAATCGCGGGAAGCCAAGAGTCTCATCGATGCTGTTGGCCAACCGAATGGCCTCGAATTTCTCATCTTGGGATGTTGCCTCGGTCGAGCGTAATGAGTTGAATTGGACCGTTTTGGAGCGTCGAGGATTCGAGGATGCAGCACTAGATCGGAACTTGTTTCCATACTTGCTGGGCTTTCGTGAAGGCATTGCGACGCTTCGCCCGGTTGGGCTTGTTAAAGTACCTCTTTCAAAGGGCGGGACCAGAGTAGAACATGAAATGCGCACTTGGTGAATTTCAGAGCAAACAAGAAAAAGAAGAAAGTGTAGATAGACGCAAATAGAACGAGATCTGGTTCTGGGGCTAATTGTGCCTCTAGGAGGTTCCAGCAATAGCCTACGATCTGCTTCAATCAAATCGATTTCGATGGTCCAGACGCGTTCGCGTACCGTCCACGCGCGTCAAAAGTGTTAGTAAGCCTTCCGGAATAACCGTCTCTTTCGAGACAGGATGGATTATCTATTTCTCCGATATTGATGATCTTCTTCAATAGCGGGAGACAGCAAGTAGAAATCTAGAAGCAATTTACTCCGCACAACTATGGCGGAAGACTCACGAGACCCCGGCTCTCTTCCGGAGTCTGGTAGCAACACACAACCCCCCAATGACCTGGCCGATTCGCAGAAACCGAAACACAATCCGTCCCAGTCACAAACTGGAAAGCTATGGGATGCCTTCGGAAACCCCGAAGAGCCCGCGAACGCGCTCGCCAAAGCAACCTATAAGCCAAAGGGCAAGAACCCCAAGGATGTGCCATACTCCGAGATTATTGGATCATTCCCGGTCTCCGAAATGTCCACCCTTCACAAAAGACCGTGTGCTCGGGAATCCTTGTTGACCGGCATTGGTGTCGGATTTGGAGTTGGTGGTCTACGAGGTGTGCTCAAAGGTATAGCTACACTCTTTCGGCATTGGAACGCTTTAATTATGGGGCTAATATGTGCATGCAGGACGGTACTATCTATGGTCTGCTGGAAACTGGGCTGTTGGCATGTTTGCGATCAGTTCATTAGCCTCATACGAATACTGCCGCTGGCGACGAAATAATGAATTGAGTGGCATGGCTGAAGCGCTCGATCTGATGAACCAGTTGAAGGCCAAAAAACAACGTGAGAAGGATACGGCAGAGGAAGCGGCATTGCGCGCGCGCCTTGCTGAGCAGGAAAAGAAGAGCAAGAGTTGGACCAATCCCTCCAACTACAAATTCTGGTAGTGCTGTTGATTCATGAAAAGGAGTCGTGGAGTTCATGAGGTGTTTCGAAAACTGTATATTCCGATCAACTGGTGATCGACGTCATGTCATAAGTCATCTCTGTGTATCATAGCTCTCTGCAAAGTTCATATTATCCAATCAACCATCGTTGGATTCTCCCACTTGTCCGAAAGAAAAAGAGAAGAAAAGGAGAAAAAGAAGAAACCGCCCATATGTCTGCCCTTCAAGAGAGAAACGCCGAAGTAAAGATATCCAAAATGTAGCTGGATGTTGCGCAGCCATGCTTGCCCTGCTAGACATTGAATTTCACTCGCTTCTGAATTGCACCTTCGTTTATGCCGCGCAAGTTGTCTAGCTCAACGCCATCCCTCCTCCTTTCGCGTCGCCTTTCACGAGCCTCCCGGGCTTCGCGATTCCTCCATTCTGCCACTTGCTTTTGTCGCCTCTGTGATCTTTCCCACGCGATTGAGGCGGTGGGCTTGAAGCCTATACCGTTGATCCCATATCCATCATCCGTCGGGTCAGATGGGTTGTGGCCTGTTATTTCCGAATCATGCCATACAAGCGGGTCTTCTTCAGACGGAGTATCCGCAAGAGGAGGGGATAGTCGTTGCTTGCGTTTAGATGGCGATGGGGGATTCAAATTCTTGCGAGAGAATGTTGCAGGCTTCTTCTTTGAGGGGGAATTGGGCAAGGAAGTCGGATCTTGTGTTGGATCCTGTGTTGCGGGCGGCTCGAATCGCAGCGCTTGGCGGTCACCGGGTTCGCTGCTAGTGGCCGGTAGGGCTTCAGGCATATTCTTGACCTCGTGGCTGTCAGGCTCGCATGCTTTCTGGGCCTGTAGAACCAAAGATCCTCGCCGTGGATTGCCAGTCAAGGTTCCAGAGTCCGAAAGAAGGTCGCCACGGATGGCTAACTCCCCAAATCGTCCAACCACTGCAGTGCGAGGACTGTAGCTTTCCAGCTCGTCCTCGTCCCGAAGTGGAACCTCTTGAAAACTGTCGATAGAGGATATCGATGTGGGTGACGCTGAGGGGCTATAGCAATCTGATTCTGAGGGCTCTCGCTTGCGCTTGGGAGAGAAAGATGAAGGTAAGCCTGTCGGCATCATACTGAAAACGGACGTAGTGGGGACGTCACCGAGCAACCCGATGGATGTCATATGTAAATAAATAGGGTATCCACCACCAAGTTGTTCTCAGGAAACGAAGGTATTCATTTTGCAGAGCCCACGAACGGCGGAGGTCAGGGCTGAGAGGGGTTTTGGTCTTGGACATTCGGCATTGAATCAGCCTGTGGGGTACCACCGTGCAATGATCGCCACTAAATTGGCCGCGCATACAATCTACATCAAGGGATTGTTTTTAGTCTCCTTTATCGTTCTGTTCTGTAAGGAATAAAAATAGGTTTCTTTGAATCTGGAAACCACCTACTCCGTACACATACAGTGCTTGATCACAATGATGAACAACTTAAAACACTTAATTGAAAAATATCAGAGCAGCGATAGTCAGAGCTGCTGAGGCAAAAGGCCTGGTAATAATTTACAAATACCTGCAAGCCGTACCAATCGAGTCATGAAGACAAAAGCAAAACCTAACGCCATGACGAAGACTCCCAAGTCAAAACACATTGCGCATCTAGGCCTTTTGCTTCTTCTTGGAGGGCTCGGCATCCGTGTCGTGCTTGCGCTTCTTCTTCTTGTCGGACTCGCCATCACCACCCACGGACTTTCTCTTCTCTTTCTTTTCCTTCTTCTCCTTCTTTTCTTTCTTCTCTTTCTTCTCCTTCTTCTCCTCCTTAGCCTCAGCGACTTCGGTATCCTCCATATCCGCATCACTCTGGTCGGCATCAACATCAAGGTCAGCCAGAACAGCATCCATAGCATTTTTCTATAAATTATTAGCTCTTGCTTGTCCATTTAGTAGGGTAACGAAAGCTCAACATACCATGGCGACCTCGTTCTTGGTAGGGGCAGCGCCGGAGGAGTAGAATTCCAAGCGCTCCTCAACCTGGGCCTTCAGGGCCTCACCGAACTTGGTGTTAGGCGACTCGGAGAAGTTGTCAATGCGGGAAGCAATGGAACACTTGTTGGCAAGGAAACGGGAGATTCTGCCCTTGTTCTTGGGGCCAGCGCGGCCGATGAAGGAAGAGTGGTACAGCAAACCGTACTTGGGGGTGTTTCCCTTAGTCTTCAGGGCACGGAAAAGAGCCTTCTCGGCACCAAGAATCTGAACGGTAGAGGCGGGGTACTTGGAGAGGTTGGTCAAGCTACCAGCGTGGGAGATCAGACGGGCGCCGACGACTTCACCGATCAGGGCGGCAAGGTTAGGAGCGACGACGCTCATCTTGGCCACAAGGTAAGCGTAGAGAGACTTGCGGTACTTGGCGAGCTTGACAACGCGCTCGGCGAAGGCGACAACGTTCTCCATGTCAGCCTCGGAGATCTCTTGACCCATACTAGTCTTAGCAGCATCAATGATGCTCTGGGCAACAGCCTCGTCATCCTCAACAAGAGCGGCAATGTCGTGCAGACGTTCGTTGGTCAGGGCTTGCTTGTCCTTAATGAAAAGGGCGAGCTCGGCGTAGCGCTGGTTGTCGGAGACAATCTTGACGAGCTCGGGGAAGTGCCAAGAGTACCATTCGCGAACTCTCATGGAGAAGGTGTTGATGGCCTTGTCGAGCTGATCCAGAATGGCGATGGCCTGGATGATGTGGTTGTCGTCACGCTGGACGGAGAACTTTACCTTAGCACGGGAGTAAGCGTGACCGAGACCGAGCTGGGCAGTGTCCATGTCACCATCGCGCAGCTGCTTGAGAAGCTTGCCAGCGTGGAGACGGATACCACGGAGAAGATCCTGGACGACCTCGCTGGTATCACCAGTCTCACAGTCCACGAATGAGAAAGCGGACTTGATGCTTCCTGCCAGAGCCTTGTCGGCAAGACCTAGGATCACCTTCTTCTTCTTGTTCGGCTTGGGGAGGTTCAATTCAAGGAAAGAAACTAGAGTCTCGGATGCGACACCTTCGGAGATGTCATTGATTTCTCCAAGAGCCTGCTTGTTGTTTCTATAAATTGTTAGTGGACGATGAAAAATGAAAACCTTTTCATTTAGACAGATAAAGCGTACTCGAAGGGCAGGAAACTCGAAAGCTCGACCATCTTGCCGAACTTAGCAAGGTCATTGACACCCTCCTGGACTTCCTTCAAGGCATTGCCGACAGAGTCACCCTGGTGGGCGACCTTGAAAAGCGAGTAACCCATAGGGCCCTCGAAAAGTAGGAAATCGGCCATCGTGTTAGGGCCAATACAAGGTCAATCACAAGATAATGATAAAAACTTGCGACACCGACCAGAAAACCTTGCAAAGTGCAATTCGATGGGTTGCTGGTGAGGTTGGCGACGGCTGGAAATGGACAATTTTTTTTTCTCGCCGCTAGTGCGAATCCTAAGGCACCGAACCGGAGGTATGACGGTTGGTATCGGAGCAAACGTTTACCCGTCCCGCTGATATAATCACGTGATCGTATGGATGCTCGAATGTGGGCTTTTTGGCCGCGGACCTAACGTGGAACAAGTGCTCTACCATCCCTTAATTTAATATTTTTGAGTTATTGGACGTGATACCCTGTCATTCATTACCTGGGAGATGTCTGCAACTCAACTACTTAACCCCAAGGCGGAGTCGAGGGTATGGAAAATATTCCCAGATGGCCCCTCAATGATATGCCCGCACACTAACCTTTCACGCAGCGGAGAGGAGAGGCCTTGAAGGTGAACATCGGTGCCGGTGAAGGTCTTCAAGATGTTCTCAAGTCTAACCTGGGTCCTTCGGGAACTCTCAAGATGTGAGTTTTCTACGAATACACCTCACCTACAAAGGCAATGGAGCTGACAAACTTAGGCTGGTTGATGGTGCAGGCGCAGTATGCAATCCCCGAATCCTCTCGAACGGCACGAAACATCCCTTTTCTGATACAGGCTTGCTATGATAGATCAAATTGACCAAGGATGGAAATGTTTTGTTGCGGGAGATGGTTCGTTCTGACCCCCAGAATCCCAGCATCTTCGAGCTAGCTAACAATTAACAGCAAATTCAAAACCCCACGGCTGTAAGATGAAATTGCCTCGAGGGCCTCCTACATGTTGCTGACGAAATTGAAAGGTTATGATCGCTCGCGCTGCGACCGCACAAGATGATATTACCGGTGATGGAACAACATCTGTCGTTTTGCTGGTGGGAGAGCTTTTGAAGCAGGCTGAGCGTCACATCTCGGAGGGTCTGCACCCCCGTGTCATCACTGATGGCTACGAGATTGCCAAAACCGAGGCCTTGAAAGTATGTCATGGAGATTGAAAGTCGAATCTAGAGATGGGTCTAACACATTACCTACAGTTCCTTGAAAACTTCAAGCTCGAGCGTCCCATTGACCGAGAGCTGTTGCTTTCTGTCGCCCGTACCTCCCTCTCCACTAAGCTTAACGGTGCTCTCGCTGAGAAGCTTACCCCCGACATCGTCGATGCCGTGCTCGCCATCCACAAAGCCCCTGAGAAGCCCGATTTGCACATGGTTGAAATTATGACGATGCAGCACCGGTCTTCATCGGATACCCAGCTTATTCGTGGTCTTGCCTTGGACCACGGTGCCAGACACCCCGACATGCCCAAGCGGGTGGAGAACGCTTTCATCCTGACTTTGAACGTCAGTCTGGAGTACGAGAAGTCGGAAATCAACTCCGGATTCTACTACTCCAACGCCGAGCAGAGAGATAAGCTGGTTGAGAGTGAGCGCAAGTTTGTGGATGCTAAGCTGCAGAAGATTGTGGACCTCAAGAAGGAGGTTTGTGGAAACGACCCCAACAAGGGATTCGTTGTCATTAACCAGAAGGGTATCGATCCCCTCAGCTTGGATGTTCTTGTCAAGAACGGCATTTTCGCTCTGCGAAGAGCCAAGCGTAGAAACATGGAGCGTCTGCAGCTAGTCTGTGGTGGAACTGCTCAGAACAGTGTTGAGGATTTGTCTCCGGATGTTCTTGGGTGGGCTGGTCTGGTCTACGAGCACCAGCTTGGTGAGGAGAAGTTCACTTTCGTTGAAGAGGTCAAGGATCCTAAGTCTGTGACTATCCTCATTAAGGGTCCTAACGGACACACCATCACCCAGGTTAAGGATGCCGTTCGTGATGGTTTACGCTCTGTCTACAACACCATTGTCGATGGCTGCGTTATTCCCGGAGCTGGTGCATTCCAAGTCGCATGTGCCGTACACCTGCAGTCCCAGGCCTTCACCAAGACCGTCAAGGGTAAGGCCAAGTGGGGTGTTGGTGCGTTCGCTGATGCCCTTCTGATCATCCCTAAAACTCTTGCTGCCAACTCCGGCCACGATATCCAGGATTCGCTGGCTGCTCTTCACGATGAGGCAACTGATGGTAATACTGTCGGTTTGGATCTGGTCACTGGCGAACCCATGGATCCCATCCAAGAGGGTGTCTTCGATTCCTTCCGTGTTCTGCGCAACTGCATCGCTTCCAGCACAGGCATCGCATCTAACCTCCTTCTGTGCGATGAGCTACTGAAGGCTCGGCAGATGAGCAAATCCGGTGCCGGTGGCCCCGGTGGTCAGGAAGAGTAATGCACTTTCTCATTTACGAAGTCAGGCGGTTCATGTAAAGTTTTAAAATGGTTAAAGACTTGATTCCCTCACAAAGTTAGGGACCAAGAGCCAATCTATTCAAAAAATGCACAAACTTCACGTTGCTTCTCATTGTCGTCGTTAAATGGAAATACAGTAATCAGCGCTATCGTACATAAATTTGGAAGCTATCTCGTTGGAAAAATCAGTCTTCTTCTGAGGTGACGCTTTGGCCATCCCCATCAGACACAATATCGGGGGGCCAAAGCCCCTCAAAGCCCTCTTCCCTGACTGGGTCCTCCAGGGAAAGATGATGTGCTTGAGCCCACTCCCACACATCAGATTTGCAAATGGTGACCATCTGACCTGGTGGAGTAGTCTTGTCCTCCACGGCTGTACGGGTGGATTTACGTTTTTTCGGGGTGGCCTGAGGTTCAAATAGCCCCATGCTCTTGAGTGCAGTGATCACGTCTTCGGTCAACATACCAGTTCCCAGGCCGAGTTCTTCAACGGTAATGGTCTCGCGCAAGGGTCTCTTGCGGGAGCCTTTAGGGGTCGAGCTGGGCTTCTGTTGGTCGGTTTCAAGGGAGCCGCCGCTAGGCTTGCCGCGGAGTAAGAATCGGGCAATCCGTTCGGCCCAAAAACGGACATAGCTTTTGTGGCCCAGCTCACTCAATGGCTTCTCTGGTCCACCGATGCACCCACCATTGGAGTCCCATCCGCTGAGCTTGTAGCTGACCCCCATCAACAACTTTCCAAGCTGCTTGTGTTGGTAAGGCGGGAAGATCAGAATGCAGGCAAGATTGTTCGCGTCCCATGAGAGTTTCTCTTTTGAAAAGAACCCAAGTACGTAGTAGCTGTCGGAGTCGTCCGGGTCGATGAAAGTGAGGATGTAGTACAGGAAGGTTGCGACATCGAAAAAGACTGTCTTGTGGTCGAGAAAGAGTTTCGCGAAAAGGGACAAATTCTGTCCGAAAAGCTTGTGGTTTTGCCCATCAACCTCCCATACTGCATACCCGCCATGGTCGTAGACTTTCCTCCCTGGTGGGGTTATGCGATGCTTGCAGGCACGTTTGTGTTCCTCGAAGATATCCCCGTCACATGAGTATCGAAAGCACCAACGACAGACGTAGAGTCGATCGGCATCCTTGGCGACGAGGTCTTCGGGGTAGATGGATTGGTTCCATGGCTTGAACAAGAGATCGCCCAATACGACGTTGTTCACGTTGCGATCGGCTGGAGTCTGCAATGGTGCAGACTTCGTGGTCGCCATTGATTTCTATGGAGATTCGAGCGGCGCGACGTGATATCGAAGTTGTCGGAATGCTAGGTTTCGGGAGCGTTCATGCGATGTACCGTCTCCAATGGACCAGCCATTGGTATTATCATGGGAATGAAAGCTGTAGATAGATTGAGAGAGTGAACACGGTCGCGCAGACATCGGGAGACTTTATGTGGACATAATTCTCAATTAGTTTTATTCATTGCCCATTGAATCCATTCAAGCGTCAGTATTCAGAGTCGCCACCTCAGATTCCTGGCGAAAAACTATTGTCATGTGATCGGAGCGGGGATTCATCACAGAGCTTCATCATTCTCCCATCCTCTCTTTATCCTGTTGCCTGAAACCCCCATTGTACTTTTTTCGAATTTCTTGAATTTCCTTGAAGTTCTTGCCTCATTCCTTGCATTTGGAAAATCCGAACTTGAAAAATTGGAAGTGTTGCCACAGGCAGCAACATATGAATCTCGTGATCTTTTTCCCGTTTATACACCCCCCGTCTCCAAACTAGCCGCAGAGGCATCATAATTTCAAACCATTCCATATCTTTATCAACTCTATCAACTCTAGTTAATCACTTTTTTTATTTTCGATTCTGTAACACCGCCCCACTTGTTCGTGTTCCTGATCTGCAGGGCTCGCAGTGCATCTTCTCCACGATGTTGAAGCCCTTCCAAATCAGAAACCTTCGGGTATCCACTCAGCGCCAACCCGAGCAGTTTTCGGACTCTCGTACTCCTGCAGCAGTGGTCCAGATCTCTGCTACAGATTACGATGATTTGGCGTCAAACCATCCCCGCGCAAGGTTGACTTACATGGATGACGATGATGATGACGAAACAATCACCGTAAGTTCACAGCAGTCTTTTGGCTATCTATCATCAAAATCTCACAATTTTCCTTAGGTTGGATCCGCTCTCGAGCTCTCTCAGCGCCTTGAGGAACCCCTAGACATTAATACACAGCTTGAATCCGTCGAACTTTCTCCCCATGATATCAGTCCGATGCACATATTTGATATTCGTCGATCAAACTCCGTGACCGAGTTGTGGAAGCGATTTGAAGACAACGTTCCAAAACAAGGCTCGGTTGGTGAGAAGAACGACACGCAAGCTACTTCTAAGGCTATTGTCCTCGAAGAGCAGCATGAAGTACCGGTTCCTCATAGCCCGACCTCGCCATCGGTCTCTGGGGACCAGCCTCGACCTCTTATGGAAGCATTTGAGGCTGAGCTAGCAGAGATGCTCGATGCTGCTGAGTCCTCGGAGAGTGGAGTACCTCAACCTAACTCGCCACCGACTAGTGAGCAGTCAACCAACACAAACTCAGGGCGATCCCCTCATCCCGTTGAGATTTTGGCGGCACAGGTTCTAGACCAGCTGATCAACGGAGCTACTATGGTACAATCTGAATGGAGATCCAAAATGCCTGAGCTACAGCGACAACTACAGAATGCTCAGAGACAATTTGAGGCTGCACAGAGATCTCTGCCTGAGAACGTGGAAGCGTCCTTGCGGACACTACTCGCCACTGTTGAGGCTCACTTAAGAACCGCTTTTAATAATCTTCCAGATGGCGGAAGGCAAATGGCAGAAGATGCCTTCCAAGCAGGAAGACCTGTCGCTGAGAATGCCGCTGATGGTTTTCGTATGATGGCCTCCGAACTCAACGAGGTCGGAAGAACATTATTTGCCGCATTTGAAAGCGAGTTTGGGCGCCCTAGATCAGCAGCCTCTACGTCAACCTCTACTTCCGATGTATCAAACCCTGGAGCATCTGGGCCGTTCTTTAATACTGCTGCAAGCAACCAATCTGTGGCTCCGGACACTGTGTTTTCCCAGTCCTCAAACGCACATCCTGCAAGCACAGTCACAAACGAGAAATCAACAGCAGACCCAGGTCAATCGAATCCATCTAATACTCCACAAGCAGGAGTACCCCCCATCCAAAGTCGTCATGGTCAACCCACACCCGCTCACTCAAATCATTGGGCACCTCCCTCATGGCCTGCTCCATTTTGGAATCCATTCCAAACTTATAATGCACCCGCCCCTCACTGTCCTCCTCTACCGCCGGCATCGCTGCCGAATTTCATTCACTGGCCGCAAGGGCCACCTGCGCCTCCGCCTCCCCCTCCTCCTGCGTTCAAGGCCCCGTTGAATGCTCCGCAGACATCACAAATCAAGACTGGAGAATCGAAAAACAGCTCAGCAACTAAATCCTTGTTCGTCGGGAATGTTGGTTTCAAGGTTACCGACAAGATGATACAAGATGTGTTTGCTGCCAAGGGATTCCTTGTCAAGGTAGACCTCCCACTAGATACCGCATCAGGAAGACATGCAGGCTTTGGCTACGTTCATTTCCCCTCAGATTATCCGGCTTTTGCTGCAATGGAAGCATTGCAAGGTGCTGTCATTGACGGTCACTCGATAAACCTTGAGCCTATGTATCATCCCCCCATCGAAAGTGTGCGTCCGGCGCAGATTTCACTCAATACCAGTACAACCACACACGATACTCAGACAGACCGCCCTCGGGCTGAGACGAGCGATGCAACCGATGCCTTTTGGTCCCCGCTTGGTGTCAAGCTACAAAAGAGTCCATCCAAGCCTGGCAAAACAGATAATCGGAGAAAGTCTGTCAGTTTCGTAGACCTCACGCAAAATGTTGATCCTGGTCAAGCTCAGACGGAATCGTCCGCACTACTTGACTCTCCAAGCGACGACCCTGCATTCAGCGCACGGTTTCCCTCGCTTTTACCCGAGACGAGCGCACAGCATAATGATCCACTGAGTGGTCGGAGTGTTTCCTCATACTCGCACACGGAGTCTCGTTTCCCGCCTGTGTCTCAATGGGAGGCCCAACTTCTTGCAAATCGGCAGGAACGCGGTGGAACAGAACCTATAACTGGTGTTTTGGACAGTCAATCACCAAACAACCCAAAGCACCGTGACGGGCTCTCCACTCACGGTTCACCCTTTCATCCTACCCCGAAGGCACTTGATCGATCTCAACCAGCTTCTCCTCTGGATGCACCCGGCAATCTATCATCGGCCGTTGACGCTGGACGACCTTCCGACCATAGTAAAGCAATTCGGGATCAAATTGGTCATTCTTCCGGTGCCAATAAGACTGTGCGCCCAGTTGTAGATCTCAATAATACCCAGCATGCGGCCAAATTGAAGCGTCGAGCCACTGAGCACAAAACTCATAAACCAAATCATCGGCACGCTGCGGAGACTGGCCGTCATAATCCCCTCAAGCATTCCGCAAGTATGCGTCATCCTGGGGATAGATCACATGGTCCTGTGGAAACAGACACATGGGCTCGGCTGTCTAGGCGAGAACGAAATGGTGCATCTTCTCACGAGCAAATCCCCGGAAGCTTCCCGGTGGAAGATACGAGGGCCGAACCCTCTAGTACTCTTGCTGCCAGTGTTCCGGAGCATGATGATGCGGCAATCGAACGATGTGTCTCTGCTCTTGTCGACATGGGCTACGGTGCTGAACAGGAGGGTGGACGGTCGAGGATGGCTGTATATGCAGCTATGGCAAATGGTGTCCTCATGGATGCGATTGATATGATTGAAGAGGAAAGATGGATCTATGAACGGCTGCCTTCGCAGTGAGGCATGGAATATTTGCTGCTTTTTTGTTTCAGGGTCATATAACGACCCAGTCATTCCTTTAGCTGCAGTTTAGCTTGACTGGAACTCTTGCGGCGTCATTTACTTTCGGTAGTGTTTTGAATCCCACTCTTTGTTTTAGTGACTTGCTCAGCCAATTATCCATGGATTTTTCGAGGCCTCAACACAGTACTATATATCCCACAAGGAGATAGTATATCCACCTTTAAATGAACTTTCTTTTATTGTTTTTGTTTGATATCCTTTTAAATGTTTTTGGGCTATCATGAGAAGGCAAAGTGCCTAAGTTGATGGAACTGGCCCGTTGTATATAAACTGTTGTACAAGACTCGAGAACAAGCGAGATTGTAATCAACGATATATATATTTGGATATAAATAAGATTTCAAAAGAAAGAAAAATCGCTGCCAACAGAACATTTAGCGCTATAAACCGATTCAATCAATGACCTTTACATAGTAAATGCTGAGAATGCTAATCGGACCGACATCAACGCCGATAAGTTTCCTAGACGCAATCTCCGAACTCCCCGATCATCCAACCCACAGCACCTTCAGCAATGCAGACATGGCGGCGAACCTTCGCCACGTCTGTGGGCAGACTTACCCAAAGCTCAATTAATTCCCGTTCCTCTATTGTGCGATGCGCGCAGATCCTCCAAGCCAGCAAGAACGATGGAGTATGCACCTTCGAGGACCAAGAAATCAAAGTGAATGGGTTCATTCGGTCTGTACGGAAACAGAAGCGCTTTGCGTTCGCAGAAATATCTGATGGCTCAACCGTGGAGCCATTGCAGGCAATTTTGAAACCCGCACAAGCAGCAGAGTACGTTCGACCGCGCGAGAGCTTTGATCCCCGACCTGTTTGTCAATGAAGACTAACTCGAACGCCTTTTCTCTAGTCTGTCAACTGGAACTGCGATCGAAATATCGGGCATATGGAAAGCTTGCCCACCGGGCAAAGAGCAGACTCATGAGCTTCAAACAACCGATGTCAAGGTTGTAGGCGCATCGGACCCGGAGGTGAGTCCAAGAGCTTTCCCCCAGCTGTCGTCGGACCTCACACTAACCATGATATCTATGGTTGCAGACGTTTCCGATCCAGAAGAAGTACCACAGCCCCGACTTCCTGCGCCAGATTCCCCACCTCCGCATTCGAACACCCTTCAATTCTCTCCTTTCGCGCTTCCGATCCGAGTGCATGTTCCAACTTGGCAATGTCTTCCACTCTCATCCAGACGGAGCTTTTACACAAGTTCAGCCTCCCCTTATAACGTCCTCGGATTGTGAAGGTGCAGGCGAGACGTTCACATTGGCACCACGCGGTGCCGCTACACCCACCACCGAGAACGAGCATTTCTTCCGATCGCCAAAATACCTGACCGTATCGTCGCAGCTTCACCTTGAAGCTTATGCGGCAGAGCTGGGCAATGTATGGACACTGACACCCGTGTTCCGAGCGGAGAAAAGTGATACACCACGCCACCTCAGCGAGTTCTACATGCTCGAAGCCGAGGTCAATTTCATGTCTGATCTTGACTCGCTTACTGGCTTAGTGGAACATCTGCTACGCGATCTGACGCGTCGTCTGTATAATACTCCTGTAGGCCAAGAGATCTTGTCGGCAAAGCGGTCTGGCGAGCCAGGCCAGGAAACTAGCACCGAAGAGACGGGATCTCTACGGCAAAGATGGACCGATCTAATGGATGGGCCAAAATGGCACCGCGTCACATACACCCAAGCAGTGGAGATGCTCCAGCGTGCTGTCACCGAAGACGGAGCACCATTTGAGCATGCCCCGACATGGAATGGAGGTCTACAACTTGAGCATGAAAAGTATATTGTTGAGGTGCTCCATCAAGGGCGTCCTGTCTTTGTGACGGACTACCCGAAATCCGTCAAGCCGTTCTACATGGCCCCTTCGCAGGTTGGCGACGAAAGCAACACGCCTGGGGAGACAGTGGCATGTTTCGACCTGCTCCTACCCGAAGTCAGCGAAGTCGCCGGGGGGTCCCTGCGCGAGCATCGCCTGCCCAATCTCATCCAGAACATGCGTGAGCACGGTCTAATCAAGCCCCGACAGATTTCCGAGTCTGGTGACCCAGCTTCAGGCGAGTCGCTGTATCCTCATCTCACCCCCGATGAGGACCTGAGCCACCTCCAATGGTATGCTGACCTCCGACGTTGGGGCTCTGCTCCTCATGGAGGCTTTGGGCTCGGATTCGATCGATTCCTGGGATACTTGACTGGTGTCTCCAGCGTTCGGGATATCGTATCGTTCCCGAGGTACTTTGGTCGCGCTGATTGCTGAGACTTATCAGAGGTATCGCCTGGCCAGTGTATGATAGATCTGTAATATAATATGCATGAAAACTAAATAGTTGAAATAGAGAGAAATTTAAAAACAACCCAACCTAAAGTGACATGAGCTGATCTACTCCGTACTACGGAGTATGTAACTCATAATTGGGCCTGATTTTGCTCCACTGACAATAAATATACAAAGTACTCCGTGTCATCTGGGGAGCTATACTATATTTTCAACGGTGCCAGGAATAAAGTCGCCGATAGATTCCCGAATGGGACAAAAACAGGGGGCACTTATCCGCAGACATCCGCATAACGGAGCCTCCGTCGCACTATGTGTCCAAATCTGACTAGTGAGAATACAAGTCTCTTACCACTGAAGCTAAAAAAGAGCTTGCAGGTACTAACCGGTAGTGCCCGGCTCAGCTTACTTTGTACTCCGTATGTTACTGTCCTTTAACCATTACACAATTATTAGGCCCCCAAAGTCCTCGATAAAAACATATACTACATGGACGCCTTATGTACTCCGTTGCTAACAAAAGGGAAAGAAAGGAGAAGAAAATGACTAGTAATTATTAAATTCTCATCTACCGACGGAGCACGTAGTACTCCGTACATACTCCGTAGACCGTCGGATTATAAGAATTAGGTGGCTACATATATCTAGAGCTTATTGATTTATCCACCTTTCTATACCCACTTTGCCTATCTTGCTTACCAGTCCGGGATTCTAATTTTAAAATTATGACCTCGCAGAGCTCAAGACAAATGATCGGATAGTCGGCCGAAAAAGAAAATGGTGACTGGGTTATAGTTATAGTTAGTCAGTCTTTTTACATTATTGGATTTGGCCCCTGTCCCATGACTCGGCTAAGTGATCATCCTAGACAGCCAGCCGAAGAAGCCAGAGCAAAAGCGCAACGCTAAAAATCAGGAGGAATGCTACGGAGGGGAGAGAAAAATACTTGCTTCCGACACCAGAGCTCTCACACCAAGCACGGGATAGGACATTATTATGTGATATCTAAACATGATAATACCAGTTTGAGAACAGGGTCGGATTGACGTATGCTCACTCCATATTTTGGCGGATATTCGTGTACTCCGCACAGGGCTGAATATAGAAGGAATAATCAGGATTTAGACACTAGAGGAACTAGAGCGCAAAATATACAACGTTAACAAGCACTAAGCACCGCACGGACGAAAGGAATAGGTCCTCGAGTTTAACTTAGCGACCGAAGGAATAAAATTAAGGCACAGATCTTGCTGCATTAGCAGAGCGCCAGGCGTAGACGATCGTTTCACGATAAGAGTGGCTCGACGGAGTAGACCGGACGTTTTTGCACATGCATACATACAACATAGCTGGGGTAGGATATTGGCGTATAGTACATAGTCCTCTCCGTATCTCGTTTACAGAGTACATGTACGGCAGATCTTATCCCTGAGTTATGCACCGGAGGTCCGGATCCCAAGCAAAGCCAAGCACTATAGTCTGGAAATGAGGCGTCCCACAGACCAAATGTAAAAAAAAATGGGGTGTCAGTGGCACTAGCCGTACGTAGGTTGATGATTGCTAGAAAAGTAGATACATATCAGTACCCTAATTGGGAAACAGGACAGCGAGGCGGATGTGGTTAACGGCAACGAAATTCAAGGACAATTGTGTCTCGGTACCCCATTAGGGGAAAACGTGGTCCCCCGAGTGGATTTGGAGTATTTTGACTCATGAGTTACTTTAATTGGGATCTCGCTTATTTTTGCCGAGCATTCTAGTTTCGGTTTAGATTTATAGATTTGTATTGCCACTTGTCCTTATGGATTATTATTGTACTGAGAGGCAATGATTGTATGGTTGATAAAAAAAGATCAACATTATATTAGAATTGTATGGGAAAGATGATTACAGCCTCATAGGAAGGAAGCGCACAGCCTTGAATTAATATATTTGACTTTGACAAAACGAGCACTACTTCCATGCCAATAAGGGGGCCAGGATCAGCAGGCCAAGAGGCCAAGGGGCCCCAACCTTACCAGGGTTAAGCATAAGCAAAAGAAGTTCGGGCAGTGCGCGCCTTGTACGAGTCATGCAGTAGGGCATCCCTGCCTGACGTATCACATTGCAGATAGCCCACAGGATGAAGATGTGATTTGCAGTCGTAATTGTCACGCAGTGATATCCAATTATTTTAGTATGCACGGTTAGGGTAATTGATCCGTAATTGATAGCCCAGGATGATTACTGCCTAGTATGTTAAGGTTACACTCCAAAGGCTAAGACAATATTACATCAAACAGATCAACCTTCGTATTCGGCTTCAGAAACTCCGAGAAAATAATGCATTCCGCCACATGGTTTATGCTCATGTAAGACAGGTCAAAGCAAATTTCCAAGGTTCCAAGGTTGAACCTTGGAAATGCCTAGGTAAAGTTGAGTAAAGTTAAGTAAAATAAAGGTACGGAATAAACGTTAACCATAAATCTGCAGCCGCGGTTTCCATGGTTCGCAAGAGGAATACTGAATTTTAGGCTTCGATGACATTGCCCCCAGACAGCCAGCCATGAGTCTAGCCACTCAAAGTTGGCATCATCTTGGCATTCACACCTCTTGGCCCCAAGATTTACCTGGGTAGTTTCTTGCCATTTTTGGGTAGGCACCAGCATTTGTTGGTGCACTGCCTTTTCTTGGACCGCTATGGAGTATGATGTGTTGAATATGTTAGTAAAAAAGTCAATATTACATACAAACATTGGACCAGAATAAAATGAAACCTTTGACCCCATGCAATGAAACATAACCATAATAATATAAACAAAAACTAAATGAAAGAAAAGAAAAAAAATAAAAGTAATTCCAAGCCTTAACCCATTCCAGCACATTCCCTATTCATCTAGACAATGGATACCTTAATTATGCTAGTGGAGATAAGCTCGTGTGACGTTTCACAAAATTAATTCTTGGCAACCTTTAATTCCAGGGTTGCAACGAATGCATGACAATACAAGAAACAGTTAATCGCACGTCATTTTTCATTCTGTTATGGTTTTTTTTTAGTGTTAGTTGCCTTATATTCGATTATCTGGTCTCTGACTGTAGGAATCAAACTTCCCAAACACCTTGGCTGACTAGGGGCTCTCGTTTATAACGTTAGGCCGCCCGTGTCGGATCATCAATCGGAGATTATTCATGAAAGCAAATGCTGTGTAGCGGAGTTACATCTCAGCTATAACGTATATTCAACAATCCGAATGTAGTCCGAGACCATTAATAATAGATTAGCAGCTAACGAATACAGTTGCAGAAGGCCCACACAACCCACGGTCGGCGAAACAGTCGGTTTATCCCGCAAGGGTACTCTATCAACAGATATAGTTAGCGAGATGTGGAGCTGGATCCACTTGGAAAAAAGGAGTCTTCGGGTAATCGGATAGACCTTAAGGAGAATACGCAATCCATGATCTTGTTTTTCTTTGTTATAGTTAAGTCCGTACTCCGTACTCCGTACATGGGTATGTCTCTTTGATTAGAAACCCCCGAATCTGGAAATTGGTGTTATTATACCTTAGGTGTGGATAATTTAGTGGGCGATGTATACCTAATAAAATGGAGATGATTTTCTGTCTGGGGGAAATGAGAGACACCAGACTATCCTAATGTAGCAAGACTTGCGGGATCACGGCTGTTAAATGGTGGATTCAGGCGATCTTCAGAATTAAAAAAATTCGGTCGGGGTCTGAGCTTCTACATTAACATTGAAGCAATTGTATTTTGTACAGGGTTGCATGCTTTGGGTAAGGGAATACATGTGGTGATTCGTGCTGTTGGTTGCTTGTTTTATCGTGTTAATTGGAAGATAACTCAAGGTAACTAGAGCCAATGTTAAGGCGAAAATGTACTTATTCCGGCTTCCTCTTTCAACATTATAATGATCAGCTGCACCGGTCTGATTGAAACTTGGGCCCTGTCAGTTAACCTCGATTATTGCCTAGAGCCTATCATTAACCGTTAAACAATTTGGACTGTGGAAGCACAAGAACACAGCATAATTGTACGGAGTATTAGTTCGCTCATCCTTATAGCTTGCATGTTAGATCATACGCACTACACTATATCTTCCATACCTTAGTCCCCCAAACCTTGTTTCTTATTCCATTGAACCTAGAGCAAGGAAGCAGTGCGACCTTGCACACTCCGTAGACCTGGTAGATGGAAGACCGGGTCACGACGGTGATGTTCTATGTTGTAGTCACACAGGACGGCGCCATGTGAGACATGTAATGCAGGCGATACAATGTATGTATGAAGTACGCTGACACCATGATAGGCTCGTGCCATGCTCGTTTGTTGGAATAGAAACACATGGACCCCCCAGCCTTCTAAACTCCAAATCCGAATCAGGGCTGAAGCCAAGGAGCAAATCAGCTGCCAAGCTTAACCAGCTCCCCGAACCCTATTAAAGTGATCCTTGTGCAATGGGGGACTTTACTGGCGATACGCTTCCACTGGCTTGCATTATTCGGCCCCGTGCGTAACATATTGAATTAGAATAAAGTTATAGGACAGGTTCAAATGTTCATGGATAGGAATATGAATGTGGCGGCCATTCCCGGATGTTTCTGGTATCGTTCACGCCTCATGCAATGTACAGGGGTCCAATATTTGATCTAGAATGTGAGGCCTTACCCACCTGCAAGGCTAATTAAGTACAAAGCTAACTGCACGGCGAACATGAGCGGCACGAAGCGCAGACTCGGACCAGCTAACCTTATCGCCGAGTCAAGGTGTCAGCGGATATGATCCAGTCGTATCATGTTTTGGCCGACCGCTTGGTATTTTAGCGAATCATGTTAGTTTCAAGCCATTATTATTGTTATTCTTGGTCGAACACGAGCGATATCAGTCAGATGCGAAGCAGTGCACATTCTACAAATACATAGCCCGCAGTTAATATAGCTACTTAGTGGTAACCCGTCGTATGCTTGCTCATGGTGATCCTGTTACGTGGCTTCCTGGTTAGCTCTCGCCATTTAACGCGCGCAAACAATGCACGTACATACATGGGATCAACAGGCTTGAAACCTAGAGATTTCTTTTCTGATCCACAATACTCCATATAGAGTACACTGCATCTTTTTAGTTCATGTTTTCTTTTATCCGTATCATTGCTTTGATCTGGACTAGGATTTTGTCAAGCTTTTGTGGTCACCGCAGTTAAATTCAAAACGCCGCGTCACTGGACCTAATACGAGTACGAGTCACGAGGATATGGCCACAGTGGCTTGCTTCTTTATTTATCAATTTTTAACCTATGAGATATCGGATATCGGATATAAATTAAAATACTCCGGGCCAGATTCGCTAAGATCAACCTTGTTTGGATGTGACTCGTATGGGACTTGCCCGCCAAGGGATAGGGTGTTGGATAAACATCGGACAGAATCGCTCAAACCCTGTTTGGGCTATTATTAATCAATGGGGGATCCTCGGTCGCATTTGGCTGGTAAATCCCGATAGTCAAGTGGGCTTGCTTCTTTTCCCTGGTAGATAAAAAATACTCTTATCTGAACATGGCAACCATCGGAATTGAGCTTTTTTAGCACGAAGTCCGATTGGAAGTCTGAAAGATAATATATATGTTTTGAGTACGTTGTATATGATGTAGGTACATCTGAAGGATAGCCCAATATCCAATTACAATATAGAATGAAGCTCTCCCCCCCTTTTGCCAAGAATGAAAATAAACCAAAAGTGGAGGGGTGGATGTGCACTCTGTAAGCGAGCATAAAGTTCAGCGCCGGCCTCCTCGTGTTGGATTAAGCTTAAGAGTTCCGCACTAACCTTTTTCGCGACCAGAGCGCCACTTTTCTGACACAGACCATTTTATATATACGCAACTTTTTTTAATTTTCTTTTTCTTTTCCATTTATTTTTTGTTTATGCATTATTACCATACGGACCTCGGGAGTAGATTGTACTCTATCTATTATTAATGCTGATCCTTTATTCTATCCTTTAATCATTTTAGTTTAATCTATCGCCAGGAATGGGGCCTTTGAAGGGGCCAAATTAACCTTACTGCCTTCCAAGGTTTTTCAAACCCCGTAAACCCGAGCCAAGAGTTCCAACATGGATTTAACTAGCCAATCCGGAAAACTGTTTCACTCCCCGTAACAGGAGAATTGAAATCTAAATTCCATTCTATATAATTCAAGTAGACTCACATTAAAGATCAATGACGCAATTACGAGTTATTACTTTTGCACATTTACAATATATACATAAATTACCCAGGCTACACAATATTGAAGCCTTTGTACTCCGTATAGCCGTGCCCACTTCAGCCCCATGTCAAGACTCATCTCCTTTTCCAAGGTTCCCATGCATAAATAGTTCGAGTGGATTTCAAAGAGATTCATTACTCCGTTCCATGTGTATTACCGAGAATCTAATAAGATAAAGTAATTAAAGTAATTAAATTAAAATAAATAAAGTAAATAGAATAAATTAATAATTCTCTCGCCCATTCTTGGAACCTCGGCGTTTAACAAGTTCCGTTCGATCTTTTCGCTTGGATCGCTTGGCCCGCTCTTCTTCTCTCCGCTTCCCTTATTTAACCTTCTTTTTATGATTTCTTCATTGTTTCTTATAAAGCTTTGGGTACATTTAGTTGAAAGATCTCTCCTTTTTTTTCTTCCTTTTTTTCCTTTTTCCTTCTTCTTCCATATTTCTCTCTTTCTCCCTCCACTCTTTTTTTTATTTTAAAAAAAGTTCCCGAGACAAGAACAGCTAAGCCATTCCTTCAGAAACCTTGTGGAGTCATAAAGTAGGTCCCCCACTATCTCTTTTGTCTCTTTGTGTCTTTTCAGCCTTGGCTCTCTCCCTTGTCTGTTCGGCATTCTTACGCCTTCAAGCCCACTTGGCCCACATCAATCTCTGCAGTTCTCTTATCCTCTTCCATTTTGGGATAAAGTCTCGAATCAGTCAAAAAAAAGAGAAAAGAGAAAAAAGAGAAAAAAAAAGAAAAAAACAATACTAGCCGGTCTAACCGTCTTGGGTGACGTAAAAGCTCGGCCTTTACCCACCAACGCCGGTCTACAGGCTACCCCATACTGACTCGGATCCTGGTTCCTTTTATATTTGGACCTGAACCCTATTTTCTTCCTCTCCACTTGCGCCTCTTTTCTTTTCCCTTAGATCTAACTCATCCCTCTCAGAGATCTCTCGTACTCCATCTACCTTTAAAAAAACCCTTCTATCCTTCAACCTGGCAATCAGACCAAATCAACCGGGGTCGTCGGTTGACTCGAGAGCTTGGATGGAGACGTATTACGGGCACGTTCGCACACCTGCGGACGCCATTATTCTTTTCGAGGCTTGCCGCATCGGCCTTCTACCTCGTGTGCAAAGACGATTATCAGAGAAAGAGCGACAATCGATCCGTTCTGGTTCGGTCTTTGTATGGGATGAACGAGAAGCGGGTATGCGGCGATGGACTGATGGGAAGTCATGGAGCGCCAGCCGTGTCTCTGGTAGCTTTTTGACCTATCGCGAAATGGAAGGCAAGCGTGGAGGTGGCAGTGTCTCTCAGGGCTCTGCCTCTCGAGGAGGCAAGACACCTGAGAGTCGGGGCAGCGACGATGACCGCGCCGATGGAACAGACGAGGGACCAGATGGATACCGTTACAAACCAGATGGTCTGATGAAACAGTCTTTCAGTATCACGACCTCCAACGGCCAACACTTGCATCTGATAAGCTACTATTCACGGTCCCACCCTTCTGCCGCCAACTTACAACAACCAACTTCGGATCCTGCGCTGCGTCATGTTCGACCCCAGAAAGGTCTCTATCCCGAGTCGACAGTCAATGATCAGCAAAATCTCCCTGTCGTTACCCGTGGACCTATGCCAGGCGCTGCTTACCCCATAACTCCTCATCCCCTCGGCGCATACCCCCGCGTCACCCATACACAGCCATACCCGCCTGCCTACGCTTGGCCGCCCACCCCTCTAGCTACACCACCGACTGTCTCGGTTCAATACGGCCCTGGTCCTTCTTATCTCCCCCCGGTAGGTGCCAATGGACATCCTCATTATGGCCCGCCACACCACCAGCCTCCACCCCATCAGCATGGCGGTGGACTCCCACCGCCTCCACACGGGATGACAGGCCCGTATGATCGACCACCTCATATGGAATCAACATTACCTCCAGCTGGACCGCCGCCACAACAACAACAACAACAACAACAACCACAACCACAACCAAGCTACATGAACCGGTCGCCGCGCTCAATACACGACCATGCTCACGCCCAAGCCCACGCCCATGCTCAAGCCCACGCCCAAGCCCAAGCTCAAGCTCAAGCACAAGCTCACGCTCACGCCCACGCTCACGAGCAACGCACCCCACCGGTCTACGGACATGCTCTAGTTGATCCTCGCATGGCATCGCCGCGCGTGCCAGTCCAGTCCCTGGCGCAATCAAATGGACACGCGCGCAGCCCTCGCCTGGTGAAGCAGGAGCATCCCGCCGCGTTGCCCTCTCTCAATCCCATCGCCGCGTCACCGAAGTCTTCTGATCCCGCGAGTGCTGGAAATGCAGTTCCCGGCATCAACTCATTAATGAACGGTGCAGCACTGGCCCCCCCTTTCCTCCTCCACTGCCTCTCCCGGTGGCCCCGCCGCGAGCTCGAACGGCACCCCCGTACAGAGCTCTTTCGCCGAGGGGCCACGAGATATCCCTAATGAGAAGATCGGATTCGGAGGCGAGGACACGAGGGCACTGCGCCAGCTGGACCGCGCCTTCATCGCATGAAGTGTTTGATGAAGCGGTTATCTGATGCATTCACTCAACCGGTGAAAACAGAAAGAAAAAGAAAATCCATATCAAACCCGAACCCGTTTCACATGATTGATGCCCAGCTTAACCTCACGCTTTGTCTTCGTGTCTATGTCTCTTTACTTGTTGCGGCTCCCTACAGAGGGGAGTCTTGTTGCTGTTTCAAGTGATATCCTTTTTGTTTTATCTTTGTATTTGTCATTATTAGCATCTTGCATGGGTCGGGGCAATTCGAATTCTTGTTTTTCACATGTGATCGGGCCATGGCTACGGGTTCAATGGAACCTGGTCATATTATGCATTGGGATCGGTCTACACGGTTGGGATACGGGCTTTATTTCTAAATGGGCTACTTGTGTCTTGTCAATTGACTTTCTTCTATCTATCCATGAGACTTGCATTGTGCTTTGTATATACTTAGATGTATCCCTGTGTAGCAAAAATGTCGCAGGCACCTTAGAACTGGCTTAGATATCCGTCGTCAGCACTCATTGCTTTTGCGTTCACATGCTTCTAAGTACATGTGTATGCAGGTAGCAGAGCTCCCGTGGTCTGCATACTGGCTTTTATTGCGGGTAGGCGTGAAGGATTATTAACTCTGACAACCCTGCACTCAAGTTATGTCGCTTTGGCCTCTTTTGAGATCCAAATGAACCGGTGAGTCCTCTAATTCCCATTCTCCAGGGTTATTACCCAGGAATCCACCTGTCTTACGTGTATCTGGGCAATGGGAAGGAGAAAGTGATACCCAAGACCAGTAATGGTGATGTTATCGCCGATGGATATGGGATATCGTTCTTTGTTGATCAAAGTGTCCTCCCCAAAGCGATGAACAGCGAGGTTTGATTATGGTGCCCTTTTAACAGTCTTGCGACATTTCTGACCCTTTGTCAATCTTACGAATGGCTGTCGCTTCGTGGACTATATAGTTCCTGATTTCGAATCATTAGATCAACCCACGAAAGAGTTGGAATCCCACCTCGTCATACTTTCTTACGTTGCCGGCTATTCCCTGGCCTGAACCAAACTCCTAATCTGGAATGGTCTTTGTGGGAACAAGGAATTGCCAATCTCGGACGAAATTTCATTGGTTGTGGGTTCGACTTGATCGAGATTAAGCCATTCCTGCAGACCTCCAATGCGAAGGAACTCGTAGGGAGTTCATCCGGTGCGAGCTATAATGATATTGGCCTCGGAAACACCCAGAATGGAATCGTTACGAGCTTTCCCAGAGCCTTCACCGGGCCGTCAGAGCCTGCCCCGGGCCGGGTATATGCATATTGGTCATGCAAAGTCAGCTTTGCCGAATGACCATCTCATGAATTCCTTGGCGCCGAAAAATAGGAAGTTCTGATCTGTCGATTCGATGGTACCGATCCTCCGAAAGAGTCCGCAGAACTCTAAAACTCAATTCTGCAGAACTGTCATTTGCTTGGAATTCAGTCTGACAGAAACCCCTATTCTAGAGTCCACTTTCAGGAGATATGTGATGGTTGTATCAAGCTCATTAGACTATGTAGGCAAGGGATATGTTGACAACACACCGAAAGAGCCCTGGAGTTCATGGCAAATCAACGTTGGAAAGGGCTCTGGATTGGGTCTTATCACCGTTGACAAACTAGTGGATTGTCTGCAGGATCAGTTTTGTCTATCACTGTGATCTCCGGCATCACCATCGAGCCTGAGTAACTTGGAAGCTCTATCCAGTATACGGCTTCTGTTAGCATTACTCATACGTTCTGGACCAACCTTGGAACAAGTATCGGATCAGCATCCGTGATATGTCTGGCTCCAGAAGTCTCGAGGTATTCGCTTCGTGGATGGATGGGACTTCTTCCACAATTCTAGTTCAACTGTGGTTTCCAAACGGAAGCCGATTTTCGGTTGAGAATGGCACTGTCTAAGATTAGACGGCCCTCGAATGCCCACTATGCGCGGTATACATCATCGGGAATGACAGTAACTACGCCTCGGGGGTTCACTTCGAAACAGAGACCGTGTCAAAATGTGATAGTTCTGGATTTGATGCTTATTTTCGGCCACCAACGATATATACATCGATCTAGTTGCCCCCGATACAAGGCTATACTCAAAGACAATGCTCTCTCAACAACTGTCGATGGAGTTGATGAACCTCCATTGCAGAGAAATCGAAACACGCCGAGAATCCAGCCCTATGGGTACAACAAAGTCCTTCTTTTCCGGGATATTCTTTTGAGATAGGAAGGTGCTACATCATTCAAATTAGATGACGAAATTTCACTGATAAATTAGGGCAATTCGATTATCACCAATATCTCTGCTGATTAATCTAGGGTTGTTCTGGGCCTAGAGTTACGCCTTCACGTCAAAGGTGACTTTTGAGAAAATAGAAAAAAAGGTGACCTGGCTGGCAAACAACCAACCAATATCATTTTCTGTTCATCTGGTCAAGTTCGACTACGTGATTATGAAGGAAAAGCCGAAGAAGGACGACGACCTGATGCTGTTCCTTGTGACCTAGGTATGCATTTTGTTTATATCTAAGTATCTCTACCCCTAAGAGAAAAAAGAGGTTTAAAATATACTGCCATCTGTCAGAATGCCGACTTTATACAGCGCTGTCGTGATCATGCCGAGAGAGTAGCACCCAAGCTCGGTCTTTAGTCCCCTGACTAGTATGAGAAGCTCGAAGACTGTGGAATATCTCGGTCCTCTGCATGAATTCGAGGAATAATTCGAGGATTCGCACTGCGAAATGGTTCTAAACAGTCCTGGTAAACCCGTAAGAAGTTATTCAACCTACCACTATATAAAAACTCATGTATATCCCAGGACAGCGATATCTACTCACTCCTTCCAGGATCTCCGGAATCATGAGAAGTCTTTCGAGATATCCAATTCCCTGTCATTGGTTATCGCAGTAGTGTAGACAATATGCCAGGCTCCATAAATTATCTGTTAGTCTGGGCTTCGTATCTCCTGCTACCAAGAGAATACTTCAGGGCTTCTTATCTGACTGAGAGATCCACCAGAATGCGGCCCAGAGGGTGAATTGTGTCATATTCAACATACTGAGGGAACATGTTCTGACTGCGACTGTTTTTTGTGGGCCATGACTGATGGGACAATAGTCTGAGTACCTTTAAAGTCGTTTCCGCACACCATAAGCTCAAGGCAAGCGTACTTCTCTCATCTGATTGTATGTACCTTGAGACTATGCAAGATAGCCACCTGGATATTACGAAGGCTGCCAACAACGACACAGGAAATAACCGCAATGCCTCTCTTTGGGCAGCTAGATTGGGCCGATATATGGACAACCTGAGGCTCTGGACTGCTCCAGATCAGATATCGATATGTCGCATGAGTCAACAAGCAACGAGACTTCCTAGTCATTTTTGCACCGGAACGGATAAATTCCTTACAGATCATGACAACATGTCTGAGATCTGGCATTCTTTCAAGAGTTGGCAAACATAGAATGGGTGTATCCAATTAGAACCAAGGTATTTTAGCACCCGAAAACATTGAGATGTGAAGCGTTCGACTCGCACGATAAAAGTAAGCAAAATACGCTGGGTCATGATTGGTGCTCTGTTAGAAATCTCCGCGGATTTGAGAAAAGAAAGAGGAACCTCATGAATATCAATTTCTCGTGATGGTCCTATCCACAATCCACAAGCTCTGGTCTGGATGCCGATCACACTCTGAATTAGCCCGTGTCATACCAAAAATAAAAGCCACCCATCGCTTGTCTCGGCAGAGGGGATACCTTTGCTTTCTCTTACCAAAGTCAAATGCAGTTATCTAGGCAACCTCCTTAAATTCAGTGGCTATGAGAAGGTCAAGCATAGAGGAATTGTGATGTAGTTCTGGCGGCCTGTTTTGCCAGGCCTGCACCCGAGTAATCCGAGATTTGTTTGTTCGACCAGCTACAGTATGAGGTAGTAATGTTTTTCCTATTTCGCATAATTATCTCGAAAGAGACATGTTTCAGATTTCGATAGTTTGCGACTAAATCCCAAACAAAGCCAAGCCCAGAGAATAATAAGTCCTCGTGACCAATGCAGACGAAATTTCGATTGTTCCTACTGGGCCAGCTGGGGCTGAAAGAGACCGAATTGAACCGACACTAAGCAAGTGGAGCATAAACGAGGTCAATTTTTCCTGTTGGTTATACAAAGTGTGTTGAAAAGCCATCAACTGCTTACTTTGGATAGTTTAATTGGAGAGATCGGCTGGACGACTTGGATGGGGCCCGTGTACGCCCAATAGGAAGGTAGAAGCCGAATTTCCTTTCCCTGATGATCTGACTAGTGTCCTGCGCAAGGCTCAGGCAATTCAATTATTTTTGATTGGTATATTCAGCGCCATCGGGCCCAGTAATGGTCGCGCAGCAGTTCCGGTGGTGCCTGGCGGGATTTCCCTTATGCGGCGAACACCGTTAAACAACATCTCCTCGTGTCCACTGTTGGGGGCGTGCAAGCCTTCTCTCGGAGAAGCCCCGAGGATGAACGGGGGTAACTTAATTAGGCAATAGCTTCACTCCACATGTGTACGGGGGAAGAGGTCAAAGATCAAGAGAAAGAGAGAGAGAGACTGAGCGCGAGAGAAAAGTACGAAAAGAAGATGGTCCAGACCTTGACCTCGGCTTAGTTACTGTATTGGTCTACGCCCTGAAAGGTCATCTGGCCGCCTCCTATTATCCGAACCTGGAAATCTTTTTGTCCTTTCGTACTTGCTTTGTACACCCCCTGGGTGCTGCGTAGGTATATAGCTCATCACCTCACACCCCTTGCTCCTTACCAGGAACGAGATCAGTTATACAAATTGAAGTCAACATCTATGGCTCCTTTGTTTTCGGCCCCACTGGGCGGGAACAACCGTTGACCCGCCTTGAACCTTGGAAGCGGATATGACTTTCATTGTTGGAGACATTGTATAGTTAAATCGTAAGTTGTAGAAAGAGAAACACATGTGCTCCGTACGGAGTACGGAGCAAGGGCAGGGATATGATGCGACGTCAACAAAGGGACTTCAGCGCGTTCCCCATATTTTTACGCTAGATCATCCGTGTACATTGCCTGATTCGTTAGCGCCACATACCGTCATCGAACCATTGGCCCATATTGTTGGTCCACCCCGTCAGATGAATGGACTTGCATAGTCGATCTTGTTGAGCATTGGAAAATTGAAACGAACTAAAAAATTTAATTGCCTACTCACATAGCTAGCCCGACCCTAGTGCGTGGACTCCATATGAAACTCCCACACGTCAGTGAAGAAGCTCGTATGTACGAAGAAACTAGCAGGGGTATGAACATCATCTAACCTCTCTCCCGCTTCTCAGCTGATGGGTCAAAATGGTTAAAAGGGCAAAAAAAAGGAGGGTCCCAACATTAGCCCGTTATTAAATCCAGACAAGTGTGTTTCCTTGTTAGTCTCCCGGCAGATCCACGGGGGCCTTGCGCAGTCAGTACTTTTGGTGACCTTGCCACATTCCCACCCCTTTGGACTGTCACAAGTCACAGAAAGTGAGCAGGACACGATGAAAAGGGCAATAGACACAAATAGTAACAAAGGAGCGAATGAAGAATACCGATGGATCCTCCGCAGAACATTGCCTATATTCGATAGGCGGAATGATGACAACGGACGGATTCCGATCCTGGTCGATTCCCTGCAGCGGATGTCCGTGCTGGTCGCACCCAGAAGATCTGGCCCACTCTTTACCCCAGATTTGTTGGTGTTACACAAAGGGAGATAATAAACGAAAATAGATGAAAATTTCAACCTGGACGGGGATGGCGCTTAGACCCGAATAATGGGAATTGTCTCCGAGGAGAATAGAAGATCCTCCCACCAGTTTCGCCCGAGTGGCCGCGCTTCTCCTTCCCAAAAAAGGAAAGAAAAAAAAAAGGAAGAAAGCTTCGATAGTGTGGGGAGTGGCTTGTACACCAGCTGAATGGTTCGTGAGAAGTAATATCGCCAACTAATTCCTATTAGTACACATCATTCTACCCAAAGATTCCGGGGACCATGTATCATCACATCCGGGGTTATTTGTCTTGGCCCCAAGTCTCCCAACGGATCAAGGGGGAATGTCTTACAGGTTTACATCTGGAGTACAGGAGACTCGTGACGAATCATCCACGTTATTTGAGTAGGAACATATGTACGGGGTAACATGTCCCATATTGCATGGATGTACTCCATAGACTACATATGTACGCAAGACACTAGATGGAGCTTTGGTCCAGAATCATATTGAGGCAGGACTTGATGGATATGGATTAGAGGTCGATCCCAAGGCAACGGGTCATTTGCCGATGAAAAAAAAAAATTTGGGAAAGAAAAAAGAAAAGCTCCAAAAGCAAATAAAACACAAAACCCCATAACGATGCCCTGGTCAATTTGCTTTTTTTGGGGCTTCTTCACTGCAAATCAGGGCATCAGATCCAACATGCTTGGCAGCCTCCCCCGCATAGAAAGTTTATGAGAACAAATACGGTAGAATAGAATATTTATTAATTGATTTTCATGATTTTTAATGGCTCAAATGGCTTAAATATTAACTCCGTAATGGATTATAATTTATAGGCTAATGCGTTCATAGCTAGAAACTAATGTAGCCTAGGTTTTCATTACGCATTTGATTCACCCAAGCTTTATACCCTGCCCTACCTAGTCGTAGGTTTCTTGTATATATTAATGTCCTTAATATCCTTCAGATCGGACTAGTTTTTCCCCTCTTTACTCAGCTACCATTTTGCTGGAATTTCTACGGAAAAGTGTATTCTCTGATCACACGCACTGCGGCGGACCAAGCACATTTTCCCGTACTTAGTTCCTTCCCCCCCTCCATTTATACCCAACAGCCCCTCTCGTCAGCAGAGCGCATCTGGGCTCTTATCGGATGCCCTTTCTTCTTCAATGTTGTCCATGCATACCTCATACTTCACCCATCCGGATTTGAATGATTCTGATGTTCGGGAGAGGGAGAGTCACGATAGCCGATCGGATATTCCTCCATCTTTATTAGGGATTCGCGGCTCCGTCATCCGAGGCAGCACATCCAGCGCCAGTACCGGTGTTAGCACCGATGATGCTTCAGTCGATTCACTGGATTGGAATGGCGAATCACCGTCGGTCGACCGAGACCAAGAGCAGGTGAAGGGATATTCGCATTTCGACTCGGTGCAATTGGACGATATTATGGAGTTACCCAAGGTGGAAGAACTGGAAGAACTCGACGATGACTTGTTGAGTATTAAACAAGCGGATGTGGAGTCGGGCCCTCCCGCTGTTCCACGGAAACGTGGTCGCCCACGCAAACATCCGCTGCCAGCTCCCGGAGGTCAGGCCAAGATCACTAAAGGTCGCTCCAAGACTGGTTGTATAACCTGTCGGAGGAGGAAGAAGAAGTGTGATGAGACAAAGCCTTCGTGAGTTGCGTGTTCCACCAGTGGGTCGTCTTGTCTAACAAGGGATAGTTGTCAAAACTGCCAGAAGAATGCGGTCGTCTGCGAAGGCTACCCACTCAAGGAGATTTGGAAGAGTGGGAGACAGAGACTAGCTGATGGTAGGTGCTTTTTACATTTTGATTCTGACTGTTCTTGATACACTAACTTCGTTTTTTCAGTAGCTCGATCCCAGTCTCTTACAGCCGTCCCGCGCAGTTTACCCCTCCTCATCGATGGCATCGAAACGGATGTCGACCGTCGCTTTTTGGACCATTTTGTGTATGGTTTCAGTCGCGTACTAACGCTCATCAACGATGATTCGAATCCCTTCAAAGAGATTCTTCTCCCGATGGCGACACAACACAGGGGGCTGATGCATTCGCTAATGTGCTTGTCCGGATCGCATCTCTCAGGTCTGGATCCCGAACCAAAGCTGAAGGAGCGAAAGTACTTTCATTTCCATCACGCTATCCAAGATCTGAAAGATAATATCAATGCGTCATCATCAGCCAAGAGCCCCGACGAGGATGATCGACTGCTAGTCGAGGACCCGATCATCGCATCCACCATCGCCCTCAGTTTGAACACCATCTGCGAAGGTGAAACCAACGGCGAATACCGACCGCACATGGATGCCGCCCGGTACCTACTGTTGTCACAGCAGCCACGGAACGAAAAATTCCGCCAGTTCATCGTCGAGTTCTTCCAGTACCACGACGTCTCAAACTCTCTCACCTCGCTTGACCGCCGTCCCAACCTATTACACAACGACCTGCACATGCCCAACTTCGTACCTGGCGTGTCAGCGGGGATGTTCCTCGGCGTATTCGACGGTCTCTTCAACTATATCTCGGAGATAACCCAGCTTCGCGACCGTATTCGCGAACGCTTCAACGAGGGCTATGAGCCGGCAGTGGACTACCAGACGCTGAGCGAGGCAGTTTCCATTGATATGGCCATCCGCACTTGGGAGACCTCCCACGAGCCCGACACCCCGAACTGGTGCCTGGCCCAGCTATACCGCCAATCAACCTGGGTGTACCTGTACCGGACGATCCGGCCCTCGCGACCGAGCGATAAAATCGCGCAGGTCGTCGACGACGGCCTCGACTACCTGGATCAGCTGCCACAGGATGCATCCGCTTTCAGTATCGTGTTGATGCCGCTTTTCCTGCTTGGTTGTTCTGCGTTCATGCCTGAGCAGCGCCAACGCATTACGCAGGGCTTCGAGAATCTCAAGTCCTATTCTAACCTGCGCAACATCGAGCCTGCTTTCAAGGTCGTTACGCGGGTTTGGGAGATTATGGATACCCGCATGCAGGATAGTTGGGACTGGGAAAAGATCATACGTGACATGAATATGGATTTCTTGATTACTTGAATACCCTTTGCTCCCATATCCTGCCTTCTTCTCTTCTCCCCCTCTTACCATTCTGATACCCTGTTCTATTCTATTTACTTTACCTTATTATTTTCTCGTTCTCTCTTTGTTCATTATTACCGTCTTGGAAAGGGGATTTTCCGCCCTTTGTCCCATACCGAGGGGACACGATGATCACCCCTCAGACGAGGCTGTACCATGTGGCGTTTTGATTTGATTGTTACTGCGACTGTGATGATGATGCATATGTATTTGCATCTCGGAGGCCCGGGAGTATTACTATTACGTTTGCGTTTGCGTTTGCATTTGCGTTTATGTTTCTTTTTTTTTTCCGGCTTGCGAGCATCGGTGCGCCGCGAAGTTTCCGTGTCAAAGGCGTATTATTCTCTGGCTGCATTGCATGGCCCGATATAAGCGCCAAGCCGGTCCTTCCAAAAAGCCTTCCGATCCAAAAAAAAGGCCGAGCTGGTGTTATTTCTATGGATGAGTGATATCGAGTGGCCGACTGGATGATCTCATGAGTTGATGGAGGGCGTTCTTGTGTCTGGAGGAATGTGGCCTGGTCTGGTCCTGTTATTTGATTTGGTTTAGGTGATTGTATATATTCAGCTTTCCCTTGGAGTTTCTTGCGTGGCAGAATAGGAATTGGGTCTTCATCCTTGTACAGTATCGGATTTGTCTATTTCTTTCAGATGTATTGGGGATGGTCACAGTGTCTAGGCCTTGGATCCTGCATCTCCTTACTTTATTTCTTTATTCTTTCACTGACAGTTCGGGGTACATCCTTGACTATAATGCAGTCAGATTAATGCTCTTACGCAGAACTGTACATCTGGAGATATAAACCTGAGAAGTTACGACTTCTAAGAGGCTCTGGCCTCAACATATTTGTATTCTTAGGTGTCTTCGTACACTATTTAAATACTATCAGCATGTCCGATTTTGCAATATATGTAACTCTTGTGATGCACCTATAACAGGTGGGACCCCGGTGACAGCTCCTCGCCTATGCAAGGACCACGTTGCTGCGGGGTGACCGGCCAATCGCATTGAAAATTCGGAGGCTAAGTATAGTCCGGGTCAGGTCTGAGGCAAGGAGAATTAATAGAATTAAGTTTGTCGGACTTATGTGACTGTTCACGAGGTGAATTGCAAGGATCTGATGTCGAATTAGCCTTTCAGGCTCAAGCCGGCGAAGGAGTCGGATTTTTTTTGGCACATTCCGGGCATCATCATCTTGCATCATCACATTCCATCCATCCCAGCCTACAACATAGTAAACTCGAGATCCACCACCTGTATAGCACATCCGAACAAGGGGGTCTTGTTTGGATGTTCTCGCTCCACCGGCAAAATCCACCATGGAAAAAGATGAGATCATCCCCGAATTGAGTGCAAAGCAAGCGGTCCTCCCGGCAGATATACAAGATACTGCATACAACCTCTCTCTGCGTGCAGTAAATCCAGTATGCATCAAAGTCCGCAACTTATCACTCGAAGTCAACACCACTCCACCAATATGGGAGACCTCGCCATCACAGATCTGGCAACGCTTGCGGGGCCAAAGGCCTTCAAGAACCAGCAAGACAGTCCTGGACAATGTATCCGCCTCCATGCCAAGCGGTAGCCTAACTGCCATCATCGGAAGCAGTGGCTCAGGCAAGACCTCCCTACTCAACCTAATGGCCAACCGAATGAGTCTCTCCCGAGCAAACACAAGCGGAACAACAACCTTTAACGACAACCGCGACATCGCGCGCATCCGCAGCTCCTACGTTATGCAAGAAGATGTCCTCATCCCGACTCTAACAGTCCGCGAGACCCTGCGCTACTCGGCAGACCTCCGCCTCCCACCACCAACAACTCCAGCAGAGCGCCACGCAATCGTGGAACAGGTCATCCTCGAACTAGGACTGAAAGAGTGTGCCGACACCCGCATTGGCACGACAGCCCACAAGGGCTGCAGTGGCGGCGAGAAAAGACGCACCAGTATCGGCGTGCAGCTCCTGGCGAATCCATCTGTGCTTTTCTGCGACGAGCCCACGACCGGTTTGGATGCTACCAGTGCATTCCAGATTATTAGGACTCTGAAGCGTCTCGCGTTGGACGGGAGGACAGTTGTTGTCTCGATTCATGCGCCGCGCTCTGAGATCTGGAGCCTTTTTGATAACGTTGTTCTATTAGCCAGGGGAGCGGCGGTTTACAGTGGTTCGGTGGAAGGGTCCTTGGCGCACTTCGAGGAGTGCGGACATGTTCTTCCGCCGTTCGTCAACCCAGCGGAGTTTTTGATCGACCTTGCTGCCATTGATAATCGGACGGAGGCGCTTGAGGCTGCTTCGAATCTTCGTGTTGAGCGGCTGAGGGAGGTGTGGCGGTCGAAGCAGACTGTAGCTACAGATACGGAGGCAGAAGGCAAAAGAGAAAAGGAGACACCGAAACCAGAGGTCGGTAGCTTTGAGACGGGAGCTGTGAAGCACGTCTCATTTCGTCGACAGCTCCGCGTTCTGACGTCTCGCACTTTCAAGACTACCATTCGTGACCCGATGGGTGTTGCTGGTAGTCTTCTTGAAGCTGTTGGAATGGCAGTCATTAATGGGTGGATCTTCTTGCAGCTTGATGAAAGCCAGTCCGGGATTCGCTCGCGAGAGGGCAGTCTATACACTGCTAGCAGCTTAAACGGCTATCTCATTCTGCTGTACGAGACCTATCGGCTGACAATTGATATTCGCCTGTTTGACCGTGAACGCAACGAGGGCGTGGTTAGTGTGCCGGCTTTCCTTCTCAGTCGACGAGCAGCTCGGTTACCATTGGAGGACCTTCCCGTGCCGTTGATCTTCTCTATCATCTTCTACTTCATGGTGGGATACCGTCTGGATCCGGCTCAGTTTTTTATCTTCTTCGTCCTCTCCCTGATCACGCACTACATTGCCGTAACATTTGCTGCGGTGGCCATTAGTGTAGCACGGAGTTTCCCTGGAGCTAGTCTGGTGGCAAACCTATCCTTCACGGTGCAATCCTTTGCGTGTGGATACTTTGTCCAGTCTAACCAGATCCCGGTCTACGTGAGGTGGTTGAAGTGGTGTGCCTACACCTTCTACACATTTGGGGCTCTATGTGCAAACGAGTTTATCGGACCCAATGGCTCAGAATTGGGGCAGTTCTATGACTGTCCATATTCCGATGACCCTCTGGACCCAGCCTGCAAGCAATATACCGGGCGCTACATCATGGAAAGCCTGGGAATGCCGACCAACTGGATCTGGCGGCCTATTCTGGTGCTAGTCGCGTTTGCTATTGGTCACTATCTCTTCGCCGCTCTTTTGCTCCAATATAACCGCTTCGCTATAGATGTTGCCCAAGCACGAAGAACTGAAGGAGACCAAACTAGTGGAAAATCTAAGGTCGCTATCCGCCCAACAGAGGAGGTGCGCAAAGTGGCAATATCGCTTGACAAGTACGCGTTGGATATTCGAAAGAGACAATACCCCTGGGAAACTGCGAAGATACTGCAGATTCTGAGACCCATTACCGCTGAGTTTCAGTCAGGAGAGCTGAACATTATCATGGGCCCATCTGGAAGCGGCAAAACATCACTGCTCAACTCCATTGCCCACAGGCTGCACGGGTCCGTAGGAACACAATACTGCGTCCATGGTAACATGCTATACAATGGTGCCGTACCCTCAGAGAGTGTGGTCCGCTCAGTGACATCCTTCGTAACGCAAGACGACGACGCACTGATGCCCTCACTAACCGTCCGAGAGAGTCTACGATTCGCCGCAGGTCTACGTCTCCCAACCTGGATGTCACGCGAAGAAAAGAACCGACGCGCAGAAGAGATCCTCTACAAAATGGGACTAAAGGAATGCGCCGACAATCTCATCGGCAGCGACCTCATCAAAGGCATCAGCGGCGGCGAGAAGCGGCGCGTAACAATCGCAATCCAAATCCTCACAGACCCCAAAGTCCTCCTCCTCGACGAACCAACCTCCGGCCTCGACGCCTTCACAGCAATGTCCATAATCGAGCTCCTTCACAGCCTCGCCGCCGAAGGCCGCACCTTAATCCTAACCCTCCACCAATCCCGCTCCGACCTCTTTACCCACTTCTCCCAAGTCCTCCTCCTAGCCCGCGGCGGCTACCCCGTCTACGCAGGCCCCGGAACACAAATGCTCGCGCACTTCGCCGAGCAAGGCCACGAGTGTCCACGCACAACCAACCCAGCAGACTTCGTCCTGGATCTCATCACGGTCGATCTCCAGCAAGCAGACCGTGAACTGGTCACGCGCGAGCGTGTGCATGGCCTCATTTCCTGCTGGCAAGATAACCCTCTCAGGTTAGGGCCAGACCGTCAGACGTCGCAGATTGCCACGCCTGCGGAACTGGGAAGTCTGAAGCGCCAGATGCTGCCATTCCGCGTGACGTTCCCACTGGTATTGCACCGCTCTGTGGTCAACTTCTGGCGCCAACCGCCGCTGGTTATGGCGCGGTTGGCGCAGATTCCAGGGATAGCGATTATCATGGCGCTCTTCTTTGCGCCGCTGAAGAATGATTATGCGGCTGTGCAATCACGTATGGGATTTGTTCAGGAGTTTGCGGCGTTGTACTTCGTTGGTAAGTTTACTCCACTCTTCCCCGGTTCTCTTCGCTGGATGTCCTTTTTGTATAGACATGCTAATATCCGAAAACAGGCATGCTCCAAAACATCGCAATTTACCCTAGCGAACGCGACGTCTTCTACCGCGAAGAAGCAGACAACTGTTACACAGCATCAACATTCATCCTCAGCTACACCGCAATCGAAGTCCCCTTCGAAATAGTCTCATCACTAATCTTCGGCGCGTTAGCCGCCTTTGCAGACAACATGCAACGCACCGTAACGATGTTCCTCATCAGCGCGTTCAACTGTTTCTGCATAATCAGCTGCGGCGAGTCCTTGGGCATAATGTTCTGCACGCTGTTCTCGCACGTTGGCTTCGCCGTCAATGTGACGTCTATCCTGCTCTCCATCTCGACCATCCTCGGCGGCGTCATGAGTCTTAATGTCAACAATGTGCTTCAGGCGCTGAATCATCTCTCGCCGATTAAGTATGCCATTGCTAATCTGGCGCCGTATTCAATGCATGGTCAGGTGTTTCATTGCTCTGATGCTGAGAGGCTTGCTAACGGGAGTTGTCCTATTGATTCCGGTGAGCAGGTGCTTAAGCTCTACAATCTGGATAAGAGTGGGCCGATGAATGTTATGGCGTTGGGTGTTTGCACGATCATATATCGGCTTGTTGCTTATGCATTTCTCAAGGCTATGAGATCGCATAGACTCATGGAGCGGTGGAGGGAGTGGCGGGCTCAGAGGAAGGCTAGATAGATCTGGATCTCTTTTCTTTTGGTTGATGTCTATTTCTTAGTTGAGATACCCTTTCACATGCTGGTTGCTTTCTTTTTCAGATCTACAGTCCCTCCCTATATAAGGGATAAGCTTCTGGTCGTGCCCGCTACCTAGGGGGCTAGATATTAGGCGGCCCCCTAGGCGGCTATTAATCTTCTAGATCTCACTTAGAACGGGGGCTAAATAATATCTTTAATATCCAAGTAGAATTAACCTAGGAACACTATATAGCAAAGAAATCTCTGATTTCACCCTCACGGCACTATACGGTCCTTCTGATGAAGTCATAGAACAGGATGTTTAAATCGATATCATCCTATCTTCACTTATCATCTCATTTTCACTTCTAATTTACTCGCAGCTACACCACGGCATACTCTCCCTAGAGACTCGCCCGAGCTCAGTGACTCTTTAACCGTAACACAAGCGACTATTGCATACTTCCACGCCTCACAGGCCCATATCACTTGCGAGAGCGTGCCTCCAAGTGTGCTGCCGTCGTTGGTTCATGGCACGACAATGACAAAGATGGATGCTTTGGCTTCCAACCATGGATTACGCTAAAAGAACGGCGACAAAGAAACTCTATGCGATTAACTACTTTGGGAACCGAGACACTGAGTTTGAACCGAGATAATACTGACTTTTTCAAAGCTGGAGACTACCGAGACGTGGCCACGTGATCATTTATGTGAACCATTGGGCATCAAAGTCTGCGATATGTACGTCACACAACGTAAAAAAAAAAGCATATTGTTGACTAACATGGAAGCTGGACGTGGAAGCTGGACGTGGTGTCAAATATGACCTGTCAGGTTGATCTCTGGTAATCGACGGTGAAGCCTGTGACTCACAGTTTTACCGAGAGCACCCGGTCTACCCAACAGGGCAGGCCGTAACAGGCAACATTAAATCCAGCTCCCATGTTGTTCAATGAGAATAATAGAGTTGGCAGGAATTTATCCCCACCCTTTAACAATGGTTCTAGACTGCGCTACCAAGAAAGAATTAAGCCACGCCTAGTGAAAGCCGGTAGTCTTGGCAGATGGAAGCCATCGAAGCCATCGAAGCCATCGAAGCCATGGAAGCCATGGAAGGGTTTGAAACGACCAAACGGCAAAAGAGGGGAAAAAACTTTAAGCATAACACAGTCCATTGGACAAAATAACCTTAATAATCAGTTTCTTTCAATTGCCGGTTCGCCCCGATTAGTTCTTCCCAGACAATTTGACTGGATGTTCCCACGGTTGGTGGCGAGTGGTTCACCCAGATAAACAATGTCGCCACTCAATAGGAACAGTCCTGCCAGACACATTCTGGTAGACGTGAATGGATAACTCGGCACTTTGAGTTATGTACCTGCCTGGAAGGTTCTGTACCTGTCGGTGAGTTGTGTACCTGTCTGCCATGAGTCTATATCACGTGTTCTGCGTTGTACAACATACTATGTAGCAATATATAACCCTATGACGAAAGTAATATAATAAAACACACACAATCACTAAAACCTGAATAATGACAACAGCACCTTTGTAAAGCGTTGTTTCAAGAGCGAAAAGCGCAGATCAAAGCCAAATTAATCCGCCTCGGTCTTTTGACAAAAATATCCAACAAATCAGGCCGAAGCTTTGAGGCGGAAATCTCGAATCGAAAATCCTGAAGCCACAAACCACTCAGTGGACACTTTAAACGTTATCCGCTCTTCCGACTGGCGGAGGATCGACACTCTGTACAACGGGCCTGAAGTGTGGAGCCAGATCTACGAATGGGAGATTTGTGTGTTGGGGTCTGTTAAGGGTCCCTGTCTATCACTTGTTCTAGAGCGTGATTATACTTGGTCTCGGTGTGTTGGGCAGAGTCTTCGTGGTTCCACTATTATTCGCTCCGTGGGATGTTTTGTGTATGTGATCATCCATGGATCTGTGGATTCGGGGATTTTACCGGTTTGCGCCTACGCTCCGCCTACGCTCGTGGTCTTTTACCTCTTGGGTTTTTTTCGGGGCATTTTTGCTTCCCAAGGATTTTCAGGTTTTGGGTCTAATTTTTTTTATGTGAAGTTTTTGTTTATAAGTCATTTGTAATACTGGAGATTGAGGAACACTTTTTAGAAGTAAAGATCGTATATTTCGTGTAAATCTTGTGCCTATTTGCAAGCCTATCTATTTCTCTCCCACACCATATATATAAAACTCCCATTTCCCCATATCAATCCAAGTGTGGGGGGTATTTCCAAAAGCCGTAAGAAATCATAGCTCGTGCCTGCCCCAGCGGGAATCAACCTGCTATAGATGGGGAGAAGACATGTCGAATCAACCGAACATGTTGCATAACAAAAAAATCACCAATCTCAAAAAAGCAATCACTAGCTAGGGTGTGAAAAGGTATATAAAAGAGTGGATGCACGGTTCAACCGGCAAAACAAAGAACAGCACTGGACACATCTAGGACTGGCCAAGAGTCAAATCAAGAGCAGTGTTGATTGGGCAGCCGTGGGTAGCATGGTCATCAGTGGGCGTGAGGTAAGCGGCGGAGCAAGCGGTATCACCAGCACTGCAGATGGCCTTGGGGCAAGTGGAGCTCTCGCCAGAAGGCACGACGGAGAAGCCGAACTCGGTGAACTTGTTGTTGCCAGCCTGCATGTCAATGCAAGACATGTCCCAGAAGATGGTGTCACCGGCCTCGGTGTACTCGAACTGGAGGACATCGTTCTGCTGGGGGTCAAGGGCCAGTTTGATGGAGATGCCACCGCCGTTGGGGTTGGTGCGCCATGCCTCGGAGTAGACGCCACCACCGCTAGTGATGGTCTGCATGGGGCCAACGTCGCCGGCAACAGACCAGGCGTAGACATCCTGTGCGAGGTTGTTGGTGATCGTGACACCGCCGCCGTCTCGGCGAACCATCTGGCGGCGGACCATGTCCTGGGGAAGAGCCGAGGCGATGGCGGAGAAGAGGGCGGCAAAGCCAAGAGTCTGAGTGAACATCATATTGAAAGATAGTAAGATGTAGATATAAAGACTGATGTAGTTGGAATGTGATTTGAGTCTAGTCGATAGACGTAAGGAATGCAACGAGAGTCAATCTCGAGATTTGAAGAGAGTGAATGTAAAGAAGGAATGTACTGATTGTACTTTGTAGTGAATGTGTTGAAGAACAGAAAATCTCTGGGTGAACGAAGGGGTTTATATAGATTTTGAAACGAGAGATGCATACAGACCCTGAGTGTGAAAGAAAACGTGAAAAGCCACCCATACTTCGAGCCATGGATCGGGTCAGGGAATTGTGGGGCAATTGAAAGGCAAAAGGCGAAAAGGCAAAAAAAAGAATAAAAAGAATAAAAAGAAGAAATTCCAGGGAAAAAAAAGAGTGGAACCAAATCAGGGCGTCCCGCCTCCCTCCAGGGCTCATTCGAGGTTTCTGTCAAAGAGAGCCCAGAATAATTGGGTAGAATCAGACAGCGATATCGGATATGTAAGATATATACAGATACACTATATTATTCTACTTATCAACTGCATAATCTGCATTGCTACGAGTTAGGGCATCACCGCTACCTGTTCATAGTACATGTGAGTTATAACTTTATACGAGGTAGACCATAATCTGGGCGTGTCAATACAGAGACTGCGTGTTTATACAATTTACCACTATGAAGTTGCCCCACCGATCGCCTAAATGCCACAACTGACAGCGTGGCAATAGTGCACACAACCCCTCGAACCCCACGTCATGGCCATCCGGCCGCATCCGCGGTTCTTCCAATCAGATTGAAGGAATTCACTTAAAAAAACTTCGAACCGGCAAAGACCATGGCAAAGACCATGGCAAAGAACATGGCAAAGAACATGGTAAAGAACATGGCAGAAGCAGGGCAATGGCTGCACAGCCAATTATAGCGCATTTTCGCCAGGAACCACTGGGGGCTTGGAGCTCATTGTATGGATGTGGTCTTGGCCACCACAACTTTTCTATCAAATTCCTCGTATTACATTCGGGGAAATAATTGTAGAATAGAAACAATCCAAAATCTAGAATTAAAGTCTAATGAGGGTTTGAGGCAAATATCAGTAATTAATCAGTGTCGAAGAGAAATCAAGGTGTATGCTGTACTTCAACATCATAATGATGGCAAGTAGGACATTACCAAGCAGACAACTATATTGCACAATATACGCACGTATTCTGAAGAATCTCAATTCAGCCAGTAATAACATCTCCTACAGATTATTACTGCAATTACCAATTTGACCGGCCCGGCTCCTCTATGCTTGTCGATTAATTCTTATACAAACTTATCCTTACTAGGTAGGTGGGAGCTGACACTCCACAGCTCAGACCCTCTTACAAGAAAATACTACATGTACAAATATGTATAACCAACTAACTAACTAGTTAACTATTGTATCGGAATAGTCCTGGACCCCTGTGTCAAAAAGCCCTGAGCCAATGGCATATTTAGCAATATCCCAGGGGGCCCACCACACGCCTCTGACGTTGATCTGGGCCCTGCACAAACTCACTGTACCTGGCGATCGAGTCTGGACTCTTTTTTGGCAAAATCATGTTCTGCATTGTACACTATAATACATACAAAGTAGTATGGAGTACTAATTCTCCAGATAGAATCATTTACCCTAAGTGGTTCTAAATTAGGGCTCCTATCGGGGATATTTAGTTCTGAACTGATAAAGCCCGACTAAAACCACCTTAAATAAAATAGGTCTTGGGCAATAGCCATGTGCACGGAGGCTGACACTAAGAACTCTCAAATAATAAAAGAAACTACCCCTGGTATACACAAATGATTTCTCCGATGTCTCACGATTATTCTGTTTGTTTTGTTTTCTTCACTTCACACTCCATTGAGCTCAGATGTTGATCCACTCTCCATCAGTGCCTCTGTAAGCCACTGAAGTCAGCGTCACAGTCACCGGTGGACTTTCCTAGTCTGGGTGGGACGAGCTGGAGCCTTACCCCCACCAACCCCCCACAAACCTCCCACCAATTAGCCCCCCTCCGCTTTCCTTCTTTGCAGCTTACCTGCAGTCTAGATCGCCAGGGGAACCAAACCAACCCGCAGGAAACGGTGCCTGTCAAGGGAGGGGTTGGACGGAGGATCCCGGATCAGGCATCTACCAATACGGAGCGCGCATGGCTGACAAACTAGCCAATGCGCCCTCGCTGCCCTCCTCTTTCTTCCGGTGACCAGCCAACTCCAAGTTAATCTGGCGGTGGATGTGCACCAGCCAGTCCACGTAGCTCTGGGCCTCGTTATTCCGGTCCTCCAGCAGGAGTCGGGCGAACTCGTATTCCGCCCCGTCCAGGCCTTGCCGGGCCAGTTGGATCGTTACGGACTTGGACCCGCGCACCGTCGACAAGTACTGCAGCAGGTTACGCACCTGTGCGTTCAGGTGTGTCTCAAGCACAGGCAGGGACGAAGTGTTGGGGTTCAGACCCTGGAGGGAGTCGTGGCCCGGCCCGAATAGGTCTTCCAGTAAATTGGGTGAGACCTGCGCGTGCAGCCAGAGTAGAACTGCCTGGCCGTTGTCCACGATGTAGACACCACCTTCTTCGATACGAGAGAAGCTGGCTCGCAGGGAGGGCGGGATTTGGAGCTGTCCGTGCTCGTTCGCAAATCCATCTTCCGGCTGCATGTTGTGCACAGGGATAATGCGAGGGTAGAGGTACAAGGCCATTTCCGTGCAGCCCATTGACCGGATCATGCGCATGTCATGCGCCCGTCGGTCTGATGACTCGGGCCCGGCTTTGAATGCTCTCGACTTAACCAAGCTGAGCATGTACATCGAGAACTCCTTCAGGTTCTCCGGTAGAACTAGCTGGCCGGGAGGGTGCGAGCCGGAGAAGATCTTGCGATACCCGCTGAAGATATCGACTGTCTTCTCTGAGATATTGGCTCGGATGTCCTTGAGATTCTTATCCAGGGTTTTCGAGGCGGCTATAATGGTATCAGTATAAATAGTCAACGTTTTCTGACAGATTATCCAACTTACCCTCTTTGGCAATAACCGAGACCACGGCATCCTGGTCGACAAACTTCATCGTCTCCATGCCTCCTTCATTAACCGCCGCCACAACGTTGATACATCGGACACGGCGTTGACCGTCTGCAGAAGTGTAAAGCAAAGCGGCCTGGAAGTGCGCATCCAGCTTGGGATCGAGTTTCCCGTCGTAGCTGAAGAGCACGCCGATAGCCTTATCGGCATCGACACCGGCAATATCCAGATCAGCGCCGAGTGTGTGCTGGACAAAGTTTCCGTGGTAGGAGGACACTTGGAGTCCATTGGAGCATCGGACTTTCATCAGGGTCTGATATCCCGTCTCACGAGTGACGGCATGAGTGATTTCATGCCGCAGCTTGAGAAGATCGCGCGGGGCATGGAAATTAGGGTAAAAGAAGGTCTCGCCGCCGGTGAGACTAGAGACGTGTCCTATGAACTAAGTTAGCTGATGCTCTGTATACGGCGCAATGACGCTTTCAACATACCAATTGTTGCCACATCAAGGTATGTGCCACCAGGCGCGGCCATGAACAGATCCAAGCCCACGCCAGCTTCAGCCAACTTGGTTGCCGTCTTCTTCCAAGCTGGGTTTTCTGTGGTGAAAAGTTTCCGTTCCGCATCCGTTCCATGAACTTTAGGATCTTCTCTGATGACCAAGTGTCCTGGACCGCAGGTAGGTAAGCTAGCCACCGCGCAGACGATCTTGCCACCTGTAGTCTGCAGTGCGGAGAGCGCCGAGTTCAATGTCGGCAGCAAAGCCGACTCCGGGTTTTTGATAGAAGAGAAGATTTTAGGTATCCGGCTGAGAAGAGAAGTGATCACAGACCTAAACATAGTTAGTGATCCGTAGGAGACTGGGAAGAGGGTATCACATACTTCGATTCATATGGGTCCACAAAGAGACCTTCGCTCAGCGGCACAAATGGCTCATCCAAATCGGTCATAACCATCATTTGTGCTTGTTCCAATGCCGCCTATGAACGTGTTAATAGACGAAAGCATCACACGGTGAGGAACACATACGCTCAGGTTGTAGAAGTGCACCTCCTTATCATACGTAACAATGCCGACCTTCGCCCCAACAGGCAATTTCCGTGATGATTCATCGCCTTCGGCACCCTCTGATGCTTCATCATCACCACCGTACAGAGCATCCTTGATACCTGCACAAACACCCTTGAGGAATCCCCGATGAACCGACTCCCGGCTGACATCGATCAAAAAGAGGGTTTGAAGGCCCACTGGCTCCTTGTTCCAGTATTCCTTCGGGACCGTAAACTCCACAGTTCCCATCAGCAATTCAGGACGCTGCATGCGATCCACACGCGCACCGGATGGGTCCAGCGGCGCAAAGTATTCGGGAGGCGTATCGTTCGGGAACGTGCACATATTACAGACGAACTTGCTGCCGCCAGATCGGAAGGACATAAATGGGTTGATATATGTTCGGCATCGTCGGCATCGCGGGGGACCAACATCCCCGAAGTCCAGCACGGGGATCGGTTGTTCGCCGGGATCCAGAGGCGCGAGGGGCTGCAGGATCATGCCCAATGGCAAGCCGGTCGAGGTAAGGAAGTCAGAGGCGGAGGGGATGTTGTTGAGCGTTAAACGAGCGTATTTAGGAGAGGAGTTGCCTTGGTCCTGAGCCACGAACGGGATCGCTGCTGGTGGGGGGAGGTGTTGGTCCATTGTCGGGTAGACATGGTTGAAATAGTATTGAGCGGGCAGGTCGCGCGATCGCGGGATGCTGGGAATATGCTCTGGGTCAATTCGGCCTGAAGTAGGGACAGAACCTGCACCACTCGGCATGCCAGGTATGTCGGCGACAGACTGGCCAGATACCAACCCCACCGCTGGGGAAACTGGTCGGTCAGCATGTTGGTTCAAGCCTGTGTTCAGGAACTGCGATTGTTGTTGTTGTTGTTGCTGCTGCGGCTGCTGCAAGCCTCCTTGATCCATGCCAGTAT